TTTTTTTTTTCCTCCCCACCAGTAACTTTAAAAGTGTAGCTTAGAAAGAAAGAAAGAAAAACCATTTTCAGTAGACACAATTCCTGGATGCTTGCAAACCCTATTCCTATTGAGTATTACACACCTGTGTCATATACACAGCTTAGCTTTAAAACTGTCACATACCATTACCACTTTGCCTTTACTTTTATGTATCGTTCCCCTGACTTCCTTACTGCAGGTGTGGGCAAGAAAGCTTTTCCTTTAAAACTTTTCAACAGTGGGCATAAAATTCTGCAGCTGAGGTCTTGAAGAATGCAGATGGGTATAGTATATGTTGGAGCTCGCAGTGTGTATTGACTAACTTTGTTTCTTTTTTATTTTTATTATTTTACTTTTTATTTTTCTTTTTTCTTTTTTGCTTTTCTGATACTGTCTTGTTGAAGTGGCTCCTGAGTGTAAAATGTCTCCTGAGGGCGGGAGGAGGGTGGGAAGTGCGCTTCGTGCTCCGGGCCGACACCTACGAGATGCAGCATTTCATGGCCTTGGAAAACACACTGCAGACTTGGTATTGAGACCAAATGGACTGATGTCTTAATCATCAGATTAGCAAATAGCAGTTGCCTATAAAAAATAATAATAATAAAAAAAAACAACAAAACCAAACCCAACTGCTCAGCACAGCCTTATTTTGTGATTCATGGCCCTCTGCTAGCTTGGGTTTCAGTATCTCCTGCCCCTTCATTACGGCAAAATAAAAGGGGGGATAAAACAACTAAAAGCGTTGGCTCTGAGCCAGACTGTCTGTCTCCTTTTCCTCTTTGGGCTGTGCAGTTTCTTTATATGGATGACAGGCCTTGGACGTTACTTGGCTCGCCAACACTGTTTAACATGGTGTACGATGAATAAATGCTAAAATGGTATTTGCTGCCAATTACAAGTTTTCCAGAATATCCTGTTACCCTCCAAGTAATTCTGGGGAGCAGGAACACCAAGTATTTTAATCTGCATATTGAGGTGAAATGATCATACCGACATTTCTGTTCTCCTGTCAGTATTCTAATGTCTCCTTATTTAAAACCACAAATGAATTTCAGGAGATGAAACCAGGCAAAGGGTGAAGTTTACAGACGATCGTGTCTGCAAGAGCCACCTCCTGGATTGCTGTCCTCATGATATCCTGGCAGGAACAGTAAGTATTCCTCTGGAATAAGGAATTCCGGTAAGGCAGAAGTTGGCACAGCTCTTCAGGGCTTCCCTGTGCCACCCAAAGTACCTTCTAGGAGATGCAGCCTGGGAAACATCAGACTTTCCTTGCCCTAGGAACTATTTTCAGTTTCCATGCTGTCTTTGGAATCGTTACAGTCAGGTGTACTCCGAATTCATCCACGATGCTTTTTCTATCACATTGATGTGAATTTGCAAGCTCATTTCTGTTTTGACAGCTTGTGGTAGTTAGGACATGAAGCTTGTCCTGTGGGGGTCATGGGATCGTAGCCTGGGGGAGCCAGCCTGCTGTCCAGGGTGCTGCAGTTCACTGCATCTTCAGCTTGGCAAACCTCATGAGCTGCAATAACCCTCAATCCTCAGAGCTTTTTAGTCTCCTTTTATAAAGCAGGTGATATTCTCCCAGTGGAATTTCAGCTTTTTCATCATAAAGGGTTGGCATATAATGGCAGGTTACAGCTCAGGCCAGCTTTGTCTTTATTTTGTTGGTGTGAGCTGTATGTTGCTCTGCCTGACTGCTTTCAAACAGTTGGGACAGCTTCCTTCACTGGTGCCCTCTGGGGATACAGCTGGCCACGTTTCAGAGGCTTGGCTCAGATGTTCTCTGTGAGAGCAGAAGGTGATGTGGTAACAACAAGATCTTGTGGAGTAAGAATCCAATTCAGTGCCCGGATGAAAGGTGCAATCCAGCTTTCAAAAGAAAACAGTATAGGACTTCGGTAATTACTGCGTTGCTTAATTGCAGGATGGAGATGAATAACACTGTTTGTCTCTAAATGCTGTGACGTTTCATGTTGTCCATCCACTTAACCAGATTTTTTTTAATTTTTTTTTTTAACTGCAGTCCTTGTTTATAGCCTTTTATTGTGTTATTTCACAAGCTGGGGTTTGGCATGTGGGTTCCCAGCAGAGGGAAGGGCTGGCATTACACCACTGTGATGGCAGGGTGGCATGGCAGTGCTAACAGGGAGAGCTTTACCAAGCACTGCCTTGGCTCTGAGCAGACAGACTTCACTTCTAAATGGCTGTTGCTGCAGAGAGTAAGTCTGGAAGAATGGAACACAAATCTTTGTGTTTTCAAAGTGTCCTAAGGGATGCAGGGCCAAATTTGGAAACTCAGATGTATTTTCCATCATCAGTTTCCGTGTCACCTCACTTCTGTTTCAGACTTTCAAAGCTTCTGAGATCACTTCTGCTCACTTCCATTCTTTGTGTGAACCAAGGTGGGTTAGGGTATAGTTCTCTGAACGTGAGACTCTACAAAAGGTTTTTGGAGCCTAGATGTGGTTTGAAGACGTTTGGTGCCTTCCATCTCTTCTGGCATTTTTCCAGCTGAAAGTTGATGGTGGTTTGAAGGGGCTGAATGAAGCAGTGTGAGGGACTGTTTCAGCTGGTGACAAGGCACAGAGGAAGCCTGTGGTTTTAAATGAGTGTCCTGGGTTGGAGAAGCACCCAGGAGCAAGGAGGACTGCTGCTACGCAGGTGTTCTTGTGGATCACCCAAATGATGTTGTGGTGGCCTTGAAGTGGTTGAGGAGCTCTGTGTACCACTAACGGTAGATCTTGGGAGTGAGGAAATGCCTTGGTGCCACAGGTCTGTTTGGAGAGAACATGCCAGGTCTGGAACAGGATCAGCAGTTCAGCTGTCAGTGCTGCCAGCACCGAATGAATCACGCAGGCTTTCATTGTGCATCCAGACAGGTCTACTGGCATCTTATGGTGCTCTGGTAACGAATGAACTGATGGGTGAATCAGCCTTAACTGAATGGGGTGACATCCATCTCTGGATGTGTGTTATTGAAGAAGTCAGGACCTTGGAGCTCCTTGGCAACTTCCAACAGATGTTCCAAGCTTTCTGGTAACAATTGTGATGCGCCCTTCTTCCTGAAGGCATTGTTACTGCTGCATCCTTCATGTATGCAGCTGTTTCTTACTGGGAGGGTGGTTGGAGATGAGCAGGGAACTGGATCTGGTCAGTAGCAGTGCTCAGTGAGATACGATCACATCCCCCTCACTGACCTTCAGGTGTAAGGTAGGAGGAGCCCAGATTTTGGAGAACATTCTGGAATGTTCCTGACAGCTACAGAAGACACATTTGCTTTGTTCAGGTGGATCAGTGTGCCTGGGGATGAGGGCTCTATTGTTGTTTGGCATATTCCTGTGATTACTACTTTTTTTTCATCTGAACTTTTCATTACCCTGGTTTTCTTTTTGGTCTCCATGGGAAAGAAGGACATTTCTGGGAGAACTCAAATTAGTGTTTCTTATAGCCAGGTACCAGGAGAGACTTAACATGTAGGTGGTTAGTGGCCTGCAGTGAGCTTTGCAGTGAGCAGTAGGTGTGTTGCTGCTTGTGGAAGTGCAGCATACTCCATGATTCTGTGATTTCTATCTCTGTTGATGAGTGGACAGATGAGCCCAAAAGCTGTGCAGGTAGAACAGTACCTGGAAATTGTATTCAAGGAAGTTACTGTGTCCCCCAGAGGGAGGTGAGAGAGCTGAAATCTGTAGGATGCAGGATTGCTTTTGTATCTGTGCTCCTGTTTTTTTGGTTGGGCAAATCACTAGAGCCATGATTACATCTGAAGAATGTTCCTCATGGAAGGAAACTGGTGAATTAACAGTTTAGCAGTGGTACTCAGCGCCCAGGAAGTGGGTTGTGCAGCAAAGACAAGAGGGATTCATTACCACTGACATCTAAACACGTTTGGTCTGCGTCTGAGTGGGGAATTAAGGCTTTACTCAGACTCTACCATCTTAAGTACCTGTGTTACAAACCAGCCATGGGTATTGATTGGAGCAAGTCACAACCCCTGCTGGAAAGTATGAGTATTTGGTGCCAGGCCTCCCTGGTGAGATAGGAGGAGTCTTTGAAACAGAAAGGCTAGTAGTGATCTTAGCTGAGGTGAGCGATGAGGAAATCTCTATGCATAGAGATCATGTCGAAGGATTTGAAGGAAGACTTGAGGTTTGTATGCCAACGAAACCTGGACATTCTCCCCTGGCAGAAGAGATTGAGAGACTTGCTGCCTTTTAACAAAGAGTGAGAGGAATAGAGAACACAGTGGCTCTTCTGAAGCCTTCTGCTGGAGCCCCTTCTCTGAAGTGGAGTGAGTGGCACAGCTTGCCAGGAGAGATCAGATGAGATAACCTATGATCTGTAACAATCTTGTAGGGTGTTGCTCTTTCTGCCTATACTGTAAAGAGATTTCAGTAGAGTAATGATAAGAATAAAAAAATTAAGTCATATAATGCTCTGATGTTGTACTAAGTTTTTCTTATGGTAAAATTCCAGTAGCTCTTCAGCATTTCTTCAAGAGTTTTGCCTGAAGATGAACGTTATTAAGCTCTAAAAGTACTGGAAGAACTGTTTTTTGTAGGCATTAAATACCCACCATTAGAGCTCACAACACTGTTCCTGAATGCAGTATCTGAGCCTGCTGTCAGTGCCTCATGTTTTTGGTAAATATGAGTGAAATGAGTGAGACTAAATAGTGACAAGTCATCTTGAATTATTGAAGGAGTTAATAATGCAGATAACTGCTGAAAACCCAAGCATTACCTGGTGGAGATTTCTTTGATGGCTTTGCTTCATTCTCAGCACATGCATTGCTCCTGTTGGAACGCAGTGCCTTGGCAATCCCCAGCTTTACTTTGGGGTGATGCTCAGGGATTCTGTGCAGATCCCAGGGGAGCTGTATTTAGCTTTTCCTGCAGTTCTGTCTAGGTTTTTCTCCTTGATGCTGATGGCCAGGAGAGAAGAGGAGTGCTGGTGGGATGTTCCTTGGAGCTGGCACGTACCCTGCTGCTTGTGCTGCTCCCTGTGGCCCACACTCAGGCCTTTTGCTGTTTTGACTTTCAAATATGGTGTGCTCTTTTTCTATTTTAGGAATAGAGAAATGTTCTCCTTTACATATTGATAACATACAAATGCAATTTCCACATTTTGAGAGCATAATTTTGTTATTTGGCCATTAGCTACTAGACTTGGGGGGAAACCAACAGATTTAAATAGCATTATCTGCAATGGAAGTGAATAGCAGCATGCAAGTCAGGGTTTTCCAGGAAAGGAGATGCTCTCATGGAGCCTGTCATTAGATAGAGACATCAAAATGACCTTATGCAGAGAAATTAGCTTTGAACTGGTGGGTTTAAAGTCCCAGCAGTAGCTGAAAGCAGGAAGGGCTAGCTGCAGAGTTAGGATCTGCTGTATCTGAGCATGGGGTTGTGCTTTCCTACTGGCCATACCCCTGCTTACTGTAAATCCCCTTGCCCTTGCTAGGAAGCATTCCATCTGTGTTCTGTGATTTGCTATCTTTCAGTATGCTATCAAGGCTCTTTCTGATACAGATACACTCTTCTGTGTGAGCTTTAAACTTAGGGTACACAGCTGTGTGTTTGCTGTAGGGTGCACAGGAGGTGTTTGTATTTAGTGTCAGTTGAAGGAGCTCCTGCTGTAGCTTGCTGTGCCTTCCCAGCTCCCTCCCAGCAATTTTCAAGGCCATGCTGTGACCTGAAGCAGGGGTAGGTCTGGACTTGAAGTATTTGAGATGCTTTGGTATTGTTGGAAGGACTCCTAGAGAAGTGGTTCTAGCAAATGTGATTCTTCTGGCTAGTTCTGTTACTGACAGGTTAAGAGGAAGCTCTTCTTCTCAAAGAAGTTTTATTTTGATATGATAAACTTGTCAAGAGTTACATATTTTCAGCTTATTGCCATAATGGAGTTTTCTTACATATATTTTCCTTTTAAACAGAGAATGGACCTGGGAGAGTGTACAAAGATCCATGACTTGGCACTGAGAGCAGATTATGAGATTGCAAGTAAAGAGAGAGATCTGTTTTTTGAGCTGGATGTAAGTATGGGGATTTTTTGTTTTGTTTTGTTGTTTTTTATGGAAACTGCCTCTTGAAATCATTGGCTGACCCATAGAACTGGATGTTTTATTGTGGGTGTTTCAGCTAGCCATGTTATTTGATCTGGCAAAAATGTCCTGCCCCCTCCCAAACATCATCTTGATGCTGACTTTAAATTGCAAAATTAATTCTGAGTCTTGTAACCAAACTAGTGCAGCTAGCTGAGAGGCTCTTTGGGCATTCCTTGCATCCCACACCTCCTGTTCTGTAGCAGGTCATTGTAACCTGGTGGCCTGTCCCAGCAGGAGAATGAATGTTACAAGCCTTTTGCTCAGTAGTTTTGCTTTTGGCCACATTTAGCTTTCCGTGGTGAAACAAATAAAGTGGAAGAACATTTTGCCTTCCTGTTTCATGCAATGCTTTTTATGTTTGCATCTGTTCCTCACACACTGGAAGTTGCAGTGCAGAGCTGTAGATGACAGACTTAGGGGCAGGGATCAAATTTTACTTCCTTTGCGTCCATTTTTGAGGTTGGTTGTGCACCGTATTGTTGTGGATTGCACCCCTAGCTGCTGGCTGTAGGTCTGACACAAAGAGCATCTGTATTCACAATTGTTTGCAGGCTATGGATCACCTGGAATCCTTCATTGCGGAGTGTGACAGGAGAACAGAACTGGCCAAAAAGCGCCTGGCTGAGACACAGGAAGAGATCAGTGCTGAAGTGTCTGCGAAGGTATAGTCTTCTCATTTAACCTTTGTTCTGAAAGTCTGCAAGAACACTGATGTTCTGTTGTTGCTCGATACTGTGAAGTTATGCTCAATAAAGACTTTGTGGATTTGAGCCATCACCTTCAATTGCTGCTCTGGCTGTTTTTGCGATAAACTTCTTGGTTCCAAGGGCCTTATTAAGTTGAAATATCAACTCTAAAATATGTTGCTTAATTGTGGCTATGATATATATAGGTTTTCACTCCTATTCAGTGTTTGTATGGCAGCTTAGAATAGTAAATCCATCCTGTAATCGTTGTCTTTCCATGTAGCAAATGGTCCTGTGGTTTCCTCTTCGGGAACTTCTTTCACAGGGATAATACAGAACATTTCTGAAGCTGGATTTATGGTGTTTCCTGTCCTGTAAGCCAGGAATGTGCCATTGTTTGCAGTAGAGCTGATGATGTCCTGTCCATGTATATTTTCTCCCTTCGCTGTCTGCCTATGACTGCACTGCCTGTACTGGGCACACCAGTCCTTTTTTGTTGAGACTTCTGAAGTTTTATGGTCTTTTTCTAACAACAGCATATGCAAAACAGTAGGTGTTTTTAGTTTTCTAAGGGAAAAAGGAGAAGTTGCCCTGCAGTCTCTTGCAAGATTTTTTTGTCTGTCTTGTAAAGAAACTAAACAAAAACCAACTGTTTTCTCTAGGCAGAGAAGGTGCATGAACTGAATGAAGACATTGGAAAACTCCTAGCTAAAGCTGAACAGCTGGGAGCTGAAGGGAATGTTGATGAGTCTCAGAAGATCCTGATGGAAGTGGAAAAAGTCCGAGCAAAAAAGAAAGAGGCAGAGGTACAGCCTTGGTTGTCCTGTGATGTGTAGTAGGTGATTGAGTTAGGCTGAGTCTGTGACAGACACCTGGGTGGTTCCTACCTCTTTTTCTATTTCACCAGCACCTCCTCTTTTAATGCCAGCAATGTGTCAGCAAGCAGCTGGCAGGGTAGTGTGATAGGTGAAGAAAAGCTTTGTAGAAACTCGTATCTGTTGAAGAGAAATGACTGGGGAGGTGGCAGTTCTTCTCCTGAAATATTTGGTCAGCATTCTGTTACCTGCAGGGATAGAATGTCAGGTTAGCTGTACTCACAGTATTTTGCATGGTACCTCCTTTGCATTGAGGGTGCTTTTAATGATCCTTGAAAGCATCAGGGCAGTTCTTTGCAGGACATTCCCTGGAGGGTCACAACTGACGCTTGCCTGTTTTTTTTTTTTTGTCTCCCTTCAGGAAGAATACCGAAATTCAATGCCTGCATCCAGCTTCCAACAGCAAAAGCTGCGTGTGTGTGAAGTCTGTTCAGCATATCTTGGTCTCCATGACAACGACCGGCGTCTTGCTGACCACTTTGGAGGCAAATTACACTTGGGTTTCATCCAGATTCGTGAGAAACTGGATCAGCTGAGGGTAATCTTGTCTGTTTTAAACCTTTTCCTTGTAGTTCTAAAGGCATTCAGTACATACATTAAGTTCATACAGAATTCTTTGCAGAATGCTTATATAAACCCAGAAATTTCTGATGTAAGAACCCCTGAAACTTCAAATGCAAGTTTGCTTAGCCCTATCTTGGGTTCTGTTCTGCAGTTTCTGTGTAATGGAAAAACTTGAATTAGAATTAAACCACTGCTGTAATTTTTTCCTTGCATGTGACTGCACCAATGGTCTTTTCCAATGGTTTGGCTGAAATTTGTCACTCTTTGCTTCATTTTTGACTACTTGTTGCCACACTTTGGGTTCTTTCAATGAAGTGCTTTAACTGGAGTTTCATACAGTGCTGTCAGTGATTAAGGTCTGCAGTAGCTGAAGTGTTGAAGTTTTCTGGAAGGGTTTGTAACGGAATTGCACTGTTGGCCATGCTTGTAAACTGGAACCCTTAACCTGATTGAGTAAGAGTTGTGGTTCCTGTGCAGTATTTGTTTGTATTGAGGTCAGTGCCTTCACTGATCATTGACACTGGGCTATTGCACTGTTCTGTTGTGTGGTTTATAAGTGTGGTGGGATAGCCCCTTGCCTCACAGCACACAGACTCATTTCTTAGACAGGTGCCCAAAACAGGTGCATGGAGTGACATTTCTTGTGCCAGCGTATGTTAGTGAAGTTGATAGTGAACCTTGATAAAGATCTTGGCTAGCACAAAGAATGCAGTGAAACTGTTCTCTATCTTACTAACTGAGTAAGCTCCTTGCAGATCTTTCTGATGTGCTACTCGTATTGAGATATGATGTGAACTTTTTTTCTAGAAAACAGTGGCAGAAAAGCAAGAGAAGAGAAACCAGGATCGTTTGAGACGGAGAGAAGAGAGGGAACGAGAGGAGAGGATGGGCAGGAGGTGAGTGAAAGCTGGTAACTGTTTTGTGAAGCTGGTTTTGAAACAATCTGATTTCTTAGTTTTGAGTACTGCAGGAAATCAGCAGCTGTCACTGCATCAGCTGTTGGACGTGCTCTGGATGCTGTGTGGGCACCTTGGCATTCAATTAAAAATAATGCACAAAATCTCCACATCAGAGTAATTGTAACCTCCTCCATCTGAAAGATAGAAGCTCAGGCTTTTATTGGTCTAGTCCCTGTCTCTTTGGAGTCTGAATGAAGTGACTTCACTGAGGGCATCCACATGAGAAGACAACACAAATGCTCAAATAGCTCTACTAATACAAAAATTCCTGGGACAGCCCTCCTTGCTTCGAGGCTAGGAGGTGACAACAGAGTGAAGCTAGTATCTGTGAGCCAGATGACAAGCTGCCTGTCTTATTCAGAAAGTTTTCTACAGTAACAGCAAGGCACTTGTGGCACAGTTTTGGAGAACACTTCCCAGGACATCCTCAGGCTGTCCTGCTCAGAGGAATCCCAAGGAGTGGCTGTTTGTGTTGTTCATTGCCACGCATGTCACTTCCTGCTCGTGTGTGTATAATCCTTGAGCTGTGGGATTGTGTAGTGATAGGACAGATCAGTGTGATGGGAAAAGGTGTTTCACCAGAGATCCAGAGATGCAGTGACCAAAGGATCAGCACAATAGAAAGGTGCTATAAGGGAAGAAGATTGCTTACTGTATCAGAAGATTCCAGGTTCACAGAGGAAAACTCCACCAAGGAGGGATCTCCATAAAGAAATCCTTCCTCAGTGGCAGTCAGCCCTTAAATAAGGTCTAACAGAGGTGCAGCCAGGCTCCACCCCTTCTGGTCACACAGCTGAATTGCCTTCATCTGTGCTCTCTGAGCTAACCAGGTCCTTTCCCCAGGTGCTTGATTAGTGGTTCAGGCACAGTCCCCATACGGAGTGGCTGCAATGTTGGTATTCTCATAACAAGCCTCTTGCCAGCTAAACTGGAAAAACTAATTCTTCCATGTGCATAAATGACTCAGTTAAACAGCGTGGTGTGAAGAGGGTGGTTATTTGCACTGGTCACGTAAAGGAAGTGGCTGAGTAGGAAGGAGTGCTGTTCTTGTTACAGCATTCCCCAGTAACGTGGTATGTTTCTCCTCACAGTCTTGCACTTGGTGAATCCAAAAAGCCACCTTGCTGCCTGTGGAAAGCTCTTTTTCGATGTTAGCTGAAGGGTATTTCAGCCATCTGGCTGCAAGATGTATGAAATGCATGACCACAATGTGCCTCTGGATATACATTTCTGGAAATGCTTGCAAACAAGTACCGGAACTGAGGCAGCTTGGTTTCCTGTGGTCTGTGGCTTGGTGGTTTTAGTGATTTGTGAAGGTGTGAGCCCCAAATTGTTGTGCATTCTCTAGTTAGTGTGTTTTATAAAGGTTCCCTCTTAGTGTGGATTTTCTGATGTCAGAGCAAGAACTGTGTTGAGTTGGCCTGAGGTCTGAGTTCTTGCTGGTTTGGTATTTTGTACTACTTAAAGACTGTGGCTAGCCTTTGCCCTCCCTCTGTGCGGAGGCATCTCTGTGTTCTTCTATTCAGATGCTAAAAGAAAACCACACAGTGGAGCCAGGAGTGACGTATAGAAGAGGTCAGATTGTTTTCTTCTCTGAAATGAGAACTTGACCCAAAGAAGGAAAACAGTTTTCCCAGTGGATGCTGGGACGAGAGCTCAGATTTCTTGATTTCTATGTACCCACTCCTCTGGGTACTGTGCCTTTGCCATGCTTACAGGGGTGTTTCTCCATCAAAAACACATCAGTGACTTCAACTGACTTAAACTCTGCTTAAGAAGCAGTCTCTTGATACTTAAAGAACCACTTAAAACATGATCCTTCATAACTCTTAGTGCCATGTCTTCATGTGCAGTATCTCCGTGGCATTATCCAGTAAGGGGAACAATACCACCTGACTTTGAGAAGTCTTGGTGACTTACAGGCACTGTGTCATGTCATGGAAGCCTGTAGGTGAGCTTGCAAAACTGTAACTTAATTTGTCTGTCAAATAAACTGATTTCCATAAAGAAATGAGTGAACTGGATTGTCACCCGTGGTGGTAAATAAAGACAGTCCTGTGTCATTTGGTGTTGCTGTTGACTCAGTGATCCCTTCAGACTGTAATTCTCTGGGGAGCTGGCATGCTGTTAAGCTGAGCTTGCAGTGGAGATGTGAGAATAAATGAGGCTTGGATGATTCTTCTCAATTTGATTTATATAATCTGGGGTGAAGAATTTCCAGTGTATCTCTGTTACTGTTCAGTAACAGTTATTCACATTTGCTTCCTCTTTTTTTTTTTTCCTTCCTAGCTCATCTTTCCTAAGCAGGAAAAAATAATTGATGGAAATTTCCACTGAATGTTTGTCAAATCCTCGTGATTAGGGAGAAAACACTGCATTTTTCCTTTATTAAAACAATTTATTTTTAAAAATGTGCATCCACTTCAAAGGAACCAAAATGAGAACACTGTTCAGTGCCTATCCCACACTGGCTAGAGAGTGGCACTTTCACAACAGTGTTCATCTAGCTGATGTTAGACCACAGAGGGTAAATTTGAATTTAGAAAGGTGCATTGTAATACTGTATTAACAGAGTGAGAGTGGATGGTAGATCTTTCCTGCTTTGCCAAAAAGCTCTTTGTGGAGTCAATAAGCTGTCCCAAGCTCTGTTGGAACTGGTGCTTCTATCCTGTTCTTAGCTTTTTTGACAAGTCTGTGACACACCTTTCCCCTCGCCCCCTCCCCTCTGCAACTGAAGCTGATGTTTTTAGGCTTGTATGGCAAGCTTTTTTAACTGGCATCTTAATTACTGTGTTAGTTTTGCTTCCGTTGAGAACTGCAATAGTGAATGGATTGTTTGATGGGGGAAAAAGAAACATAAAAACCATGCCATACCTTCTCTCATTTAGCTGTCTTCTTTCTTCTAGGTCTGGATCGAGAAATAGAGATCGTCGAAGGTGAGTGTGAAGTTGTCCCAAATGCCTGTTTGTGTTTTTATGTAGTCACTGAGGTCTCGTAAATGGCGTTGGTGCTATGCCTCAGTCTTCTCACTGCACTCCCTGAAAGAAATGGGAACTTCTGCTTGGAACCTTTTGTGGTACTGTGTAGCTGAACGGTCAGCAGCTGAGCTGCAAGGCAGGAGTGGGCTAGCCCAGCCAGAGAAAGGGAGCTGTGTGCTCTGCACTGCCAGCCTAAGAATGCACTCAATATCTTTGCTAATAAATGTCTCGCATGCTTTGATAGTTCTAAAGTATGAAATATACCTGTTACATATAATACGTCAGGTATAAAAAACCAGAGATTTGTCATTAAAGCTCCCATCTTTGTGAAGAGCTTGCCTTAATGATATGACAACGTGATCGTGTACCTCGAGATCTCCTCTACTGTTTTACATATATGTTGGCACCCTTTATTTGGTTTTTAGAGCAGATGAAAACAAATCTGCTTTGAAAATGCAGTGTTTTCACAAGGGGGATGCTCTCTTTGGCAGGCTGCCATAGAAGTTATGGCAATGTCACATATGACTGACTTCTTCAGCCTAAGTGAGGCCTGTATCACAGTTGGTAAGCTGTGCTCTAAGCATCAACGCATCAGTGGTGGGAGTGATTTTCATGAGCTTCCCAGCAACTTGAATTTGCCCTTTAGTGTTTTGTTGGTAGTGTGAGCCCAGCAATGAGCCTCTTCACCCTGCGGGTGATTTGCCTTCTGTGCTGGCAGGGATGGGGTAGGGGCTGATGCTCTGGATTTGCGTTAGTCTGGAATGTCTGAGAGATGGGCACAGCTGTACAGATCCAACGCAGTGGCCTATCTCTTGAATCTGAGGCAGTCTGTGCCCTCTGCAGATCCCGGTCTCGGGACAGGAGGCGAAGGCGCTCGAGGTCGGCGTCCCGTGAGCGGCGGAAGTCCCGCTCCAGGTCCCGAGACCGACACAGGCGCCACCGGAGCCGCTCCCGCAGCCACAGCAGAGGCCACCGCCGGGGCTCCAGAGACAGGAGTTCCAAACACAAGTATGTATTCCTCACGTGAGTGCTTCTGAAAAGGGGAGTCCCCGACATAAGTGAGCCTCTTCTGATCCCTTAGGGTAGGCAGAACTGCTACCACTTTCTCAAGCTGGGAGCGACAGTGTCCTGTACTGCTTCCTGAGCCAAAGCAGCGTTTCCCAGGGGCAATTTGTAGATGCTTTCACATGTTTATGGTCTTAAACTGAGATGGGGAGGTTTAGGTTAGATATTAGGAGAAAGTTTTTCACGCAGAGGGTGGTGATGCACTGGAACAGGTTGCCCAATGTGGTTGTGGATGCCCCATCCCTGCAGGCATTCAAGGCCAGGCTGGATGTGGCTCTGGGCAGCCTGGGCTGCTGGTTGGTGGCCCTGCACATAGCAGGGGGTTGGAATTGGATGAGCATTGTGGTCCTTTTCAACCCAGGCCATTCTAGGATTCTATGAGAGCAGTAACTGTACAGTAAGGTCCCAGCTTAAGTGCAGAGTCTAGGAGATAGAACTGTCATTCTCTGATCTGCCTTGAGAAACTGCTGGTTTTCCTGCATAAGCAGCAGCTCAAAGGCCTGCTGGCGCTCACACAGTCTCCCCAGGTGTGTAAAAGCCAAGTAATGGAGGCAGTTTTGGCATTACATTACTGTGGTTGTCTTCTGCTTCCCAGCTTCTTGCTCTCAGTGACATGGGAAATAGAAGTGTATGATTTGGGAACTAAGGGAAGTCTTCTCGTAGGGTAACAAGAAAGCATGTTGAGAGACAGTTATTAGAAATTTCTGTTGAGGGAGGGAGAAAGACAGCTGTAAGGAGGAGTATACCATTCTCCTGTCACCAAAGAGAAATCCTATAGTCTCTCTTCTGAGACTTAGCAAAACACCCACTGTGTTGGAGGAAAGATGAAGCAAGCATATATATGTAGTTGTATTAGCAAGACTGAAATGAAACGTTGCATTTCCCTGCCACCTTTCTAAGCCTGGGAGCAAGTATATAACCAATGTTTGCTGAAGTTAGATCTAGCCTTTATTTTAGTGCTATCAGTTAATAGATGAATGCTTCAGCGGTCTCATCTGATTAGGGACCACCACTAGAATACACTTCTAGAAACAAATCTACTGTTGTGTATTGTGTTGCTTGAGCTTAAGGGTAAGAACAGGTTTTAAAGACACCTGATGAATGGGAGGGGAATAACGGTCTGAAAAGATATGTCTGTTAATAACTGATGGGAGGGGGGGCTGTAAATACTGTTGATTCTCCAATGGCTGAGATACTAAAGTCCTTTTTTAAATCTGTCTTGAACATGGAAAAAAAAAGAAAAGAAGTTTGGACAATTAGGAAGTGAGGAAGACCCTGTAATAACTATTACTAAAGAGCAGGTAAGGGATTACTTCGAAAACCTTGAACACATTCAGATCAGCCTGTTGAAGCTGTAGGTGGATTGGCTAGCTGACATATTTCCACAAAATTACTGAGAACTGGGGAGAGGCGAGACAATTTTAAGAAACAAAAAATGAATGAGAAACCTTAATCCCTGAAAGTGTAGCTTCTGTTTTTACTCTGAGAATTCATGAAATGTATGTTCTGGTTCTGCTGGTCTGAAATCTCACTTGTAGAAAGAACTAGCCCATCACAGGATCTGGAGATCTTAGGGTAAGAGAGCTATGGGCAACAAACAGTGTGGGGATGGGAAAAGAGCTGATCAGATGAGACAGACATGTGTTGTCTTCTGTCTTGTGGTTAAATGGCACATTGTAAGGTAATGAAAGTGACATGTGATGTGATCCAGAGGGCTGCAAGGTTTTAATATAACTGCAATAGTTCCAAAGATTAGAATCAGCATGAGAGGAAGCTGGAATCCATAAGGTACCTACCAGGTCTTTTGCTTATGACTGCAGAGAAAACAGTGTGCTGTGCAGGATCTCTGAAAGCTCTACCTAGTTCTGAAGGGCCGTGGGCTGCTTGAGACAGCTATGGGCCAGCACCTAGTTGATAAGCTGATTGATTGATTGATTTACAGTTGGCATGAATCATACAGCATAAAAACTTTCTAAAATTGGATCTAGTATGAAACCCTCTGCTTCATTCTGAGTGGGCTGACACAGTGAAGCACTGCTGAAAATCTGTAGCTCTCATTTGGGAAGGCTGTGAAAAGATTTGTCCCTGTTATGGTTTCTGAATAAAAATCTGTGTCATCCTGACTTTGAACCCAGGATGTTAAAGACTGCGCTTGTCAAGATGCAAAGTGACAAAAGCCCAGGACTGAGCAAGCCTTTGAATGCGAAGAATACAGTTGGCATTTAAAGCAGTTGAGCAGAAGGCCACTAGCTTAGAGCGTAAGCAAAACACTGTAAAAGACACAAACGATGATGAGAAAAAGATTGGAAGTGCTTTAGTATGGCCCAGTAAACTAAGAAGGGGTGCAGGGAACACCTTGAGGGACTGACAGAGGCTGCACTGTGCAGTCAGTGCTGCAAAACTGTGTTCTTACACAAAAACTTGTAGAGGGACCAGAGTTTCCATCTTGGGTGGCACTACTCCTGACACTGCAGTACCCAGGCACACTTCTGTAAGAAACCTGTTACAGCATGGCCCCGTTTGCAAAGATTTTGCCGTTTTTATGTGCATTTTATGTAAATTCTTTCAGCTGTGAAGCATATAGCGATGGTTTACTTTGTACTTCAGATCTTCTAGGGATCGATCTTCAAGAGAGAAGTCACGAGACAGAGAGAGGAAAGAGAAGAGCTCTTCTGAGAGGCGGCACGAGAGCACAAATGGCAAATCTCGTTCCAAGAGATCAGAGGAGAGAGAAGCTGGCGAGATCTGAACTCAAACGATCGGTGTTGCACTGTAAATAGTCCGATAAACATTCTACACAAAGCCTAAACTTCCCATTTATATTTACTGAATACGACTCATCTTTTGTAGTTTGGAATTTTTATTGTTTGGCAGATAGCTGTGAGTTTGTAGAGACACCCAGTCCCGTACTGTTTAACAGGATTTTGTTTTAGTAGGAATCAATAAACCTGACGGCTCGTTTTCAATCCAGCTGGGCGGCTCACGCGCTGTGTTTGTGGTGCTGCAATGAACAGGGCAGTAGAGATGGTGCTGGGGTTGGCAACCTGTGCTGCTGTGCTGTTTGTTAACACTTCAGCCCTTTTCATGAGACCTCCCTCCCCCTTTTCACGGCTGGTATTTGAGAACATCAGTAGCCCAGTTCTGATCGGTTCCATGTCTTTTTCTTTGCTTGCACGTGTTAAATTGAAAAGCTTTTTTTCCTCCTTTTAGTGTTTAGCCACCTCATTTTTACATCTCCTGAGCAGCTGAGAGTCGCCTTGCTGTCCCAGGTGCTTTTTGGCCCTGTTTGTCAGCTGTTCATCGTTGTGCTGGGGACGGGACCAACTGGAGCACATTTCTAAATCTGTTCCCGGTATAACGGGTGTTAAAAAAAAAAAAAAAAATTGTGCTCGAAGGGAAAACGTGCATCGATTCCATGTTCGTAGAGGAGCAGAGCACCGTTTAACCTGCAGTCAGAAAGCAGCTCGGCGGCGGGCTTGTCTGACTTCGTGCTACGCAACGCCTCGGGGGGAGCGGCTGGGCGCCGGGCTGCACTGGGTGTGGGTGCGGAGCCGGGTCCTCCCGCCCGCCTTTCTTTCCCAGCAGGGAGGCGGGCAGCGCTGCGGTGCCCGTACCGCGTTACGCCGGGCTGCAGCGGGCCGTGCCGGCTTGGCGCCGCGCCTCCCGCCCGCCGTGCGCGGTCCTGTCTCTATAACCGCTTCATTTCTTCGGTTCGCTCGCCGTCCCGCACTGAGCGCGCTGCAGCCCCGCGCTCCGCCTCTTCTTCCGCGTCCCCGCCCTCCGCACGGCGCCCCGCCCTGTGACGTCACTTCCGGCAGACGCCGTGCGGGCCATGGAGGCGGAAGTGACGGCGGCGGCGGCGCGGTGAGTGCGGAGCGCGGGGCCTCGGGGCCGCGGTGGGGAACGGCGCTGCGCGGCGTTGCGGAGCGGCGCGGCGGAACCCAGCGCCCACGAGGGCGGTGCCCGGCCGGCCGTCGCCCTCCCGGTGGGCTGTGGGGCCGCTCCGGCTTGGCGGAGCGCGGCTCAGAAGGGCCGGTGCCGGCCGTGGTGCCGCGCTTGGCCTTAGCGGGAGGAAGCGGAGCTCGCCGGGAGCGCTGCCCGCTGCCCCGCGCGGCGCTCGGTGCCGCCCCGGATCTCCGTCCCGGGCTCCCAGCAGAGGGGCAGCCCGGGGAGCTGCAGCTTGAGCCGTTCCCAGTGCCCGGCCCTGGTTCCGGGCTGGGAGCTGCGTGTCTGAGCCGTGCGGCCTGCGAGCCGTGGCTTCCCTCTGTGTGTGCTGCGAGACGGAGGGAAAAAAAGATGGATTCGATCCCGAGGGAGGAAGCAGGTCCGTCCTGGCAGTAGCTGATGGTGACAGCAGCAGGTGGAAAAAGGCCGTTGCTTCGTGCCATCGCGTGCCTTGCTTATCAGCAGCGTGAGGGAACCGGCGGGCAGCGAGGAATGTGTGAGCTGGGTGTTAATTGAGATCTGCGGAGTGAGCTCTCGGCTTAAAAACTGTCCGTCCTTTTTGTCTTTTCAATAAACGTACATGAAATGACTGCAGTGTGTTCTAAACAGCTTCTGTGCCCGGAGATCTCCCCTAATCTCTGAAATCCCTGGCAGCTCAGGGATGTCGCTGAGGCTCTGACGCAGCCCATGGCTGCAGTGGGATGGGGCTGACCCCACAGGCTCGCATGGCTCGCAAAGGATCTGCAGCAGTGGGTGAGGGTGGGTGGCTTTGATCCCGGGCTGCTGATAAACTGCTTGTGTTTCTGTTGCTTGGTTATTATCACTGACGTAACCTGTAATCGTAGCTTTGCAGCGTTGCGACTGCTTTTCATCAAAGAGGGTAGATTTCTGTTGGATATAAGGAACAGATCTTTCACAATGAGGGTGGTGAGGCACTGCAGCAGATTGCTCAGTGTTGTGGTTGATGCCTCATCCCTGGAGGCTTTCAAAGCAAGGCTGGATCAGGCCCTGGGCAACCTGACCTAGCTGTGCTGTCCCTGTGCATTGTGGTGGAGTCGGACCAGATGGCCTTCAGAGCCCCTTCCAACTCTGGGTTGCAGGCTGCATCCTTACAAAGGCCAGAAGGGTCACAGGAGGGGCCCCAGAGCCAGAAGGGATGGTCAGTTTGTGGCAGCTCTGTGTGCACGCCGGGGCTGTGGCTTTGTCAAGAAAGTTGCAGATGACCCCACAGGACTGTAAGCTTCAGAGTGCTGAGTTTATTCAGGGAGGAAAAATCTCAGTCGGGGAAAATCTTAAGTGTTAGTTCCTTCTGGCTGGATGCTAACGTAAGTAGAACTGCACAAAAGGGACCCAAAAAGTGACGCACTGCCATTGTGGAGCAGCAGGTGACTGCCCTGTGAGCTCCCTGCAGTGCTGCACACTTCACACCGCAGTCAGCTGGTAGGAGGCAGCCACGCTGGGGATGTTGCATCTTATGCAGGGCAGTGTTTGCGAGCTGTTTTGTCATCAGGGATTACAGGGTGGGGTTTCAACTATTCTGGCTGATGCAAATTTGAAACAAACAAACGAACCCCAACTGCAAATGCTGTATTTGTGTTCCTAAAAGGACCTGTCATAATCTGACTCCAGAACTCTGTGAAAGATGTGAATACACTGAATGTCAACTCTAGGTATGAAATATTGCTAGAAAATTTCCAGGAAGAAGCACTATCTTGTGAGATTAGTGCAATTAGGTCTGTGCTTGGGCATTTTATGACTGGAAAATGAGTTACACCTTCCATGGCACCAGTGCACTTAAATGGCTCCCGCCTCCATACACCCGACTTTGTGCAGTTCTCTGCACCAGCTGACTGGCAATGATAGTTTGTCCCTTCAGTTTGGCTGCAGCTTGGCACGGGCAGCTTGCTGCACAAGTTGCACTGCTTTAATGCAGATGAAATCTGCAAAGCTGTGCTGTAGAAGAGGAGAGTCAGTGCCCCACAAAGGTGAGTTACACCGGGAACCCATGTTTGTCCTGGAAGCAGCATTGTTCTGTGGGACAGGAGAGGGATTTGTTTGATTCCTCCTCTTGCTGGGCTGCAGGAGCAAGCAGCCTTCAGAGCTCAGAGAGTGCCTCACTGGTACTGCTTGTAATTATTTGTAATTATCAGCTGTGTCGTGTGCAGTCTGTAATTATTTCCCTTCCTAGGAAGTCCTTTTCATGCAGTGTCTCAGGTGAGGCCTCCTGACCCTGAGCAGGGCTGATGCTGGCCACCAGACCCAGCACATGCAGCAGTGTTAATGCTGCAGCAGCATGTGATCCTGTTGCTGTGTATTTCATTGCAAGCTTCTGGGTGCATCAAAGCCCCCAGGGAAGTATTCTGTGCCCTCTACCAATGGAAGACAAAATGTCTGCTGCTAGAGGACAGAAAAGTCATCTGAAACGCCACACTGTCGTTTTCTGCTTGTCTCCAATTAAACTGATTAGCAGACTGCTTTGTTGCTCAGAGATCAGACTGTTTCATGTGCTGCCAGCACGTACTTTGGCACTTCGGGCTGTGGGATTTCCTGCATTGTTTGAACCCTGGTGGTCATTGTTCTGGCCCTCCATATGCTCTGGCAGGAGAGCGAAGGGCAGTGTTCAGATCCTGAAAGAAGAGAGAAAGGAACTGCTTTGAAGGCACGGAGAGCTCTTTGTAATCAGGGTCGCTGCTGCAATAGAAGGGGAATTACTGGGGCTGGCAGTATAATTACTACTTTTTTTTTTCTTGTTCTCATCCCAGTCTGGATGACGGTGGTTTGTAATGCCTCACACAAGTGTGCCTTTGGAGTTAAGATGGTGCCCGTTTGGGTCTGGGCAGAGAAGCAGCCCAGTTTCATCACGCACTGTTTGCAGAAAGAGTCACAGGTGCTGGAAGCACTCTGCTGTGCCCCAGCAGTTATCTGGCTTCCTGCCTCACGGGCTGCACTGTTCTCAGGGGCTGCACTCAAACTGTGACCCGGCAGCACTGAGAAGGGTGAGCTGCTGCTCCCAGCTCAGCATGGGGAGATCAACTCACCAACTCCTGCCCTCTTCCCCAGCATCACAATGGCAGAAGCTGCTGTTGCTCCACTCCCGTAAATCATTTGCTCAGCCCATGGCTGTGGCCTCGTACCTTGACCCCACTGATGGGCCGGCTCCCTGCGGTGCCAGCAAAGCAACGCTCTGCTCACTGCAGCCACTGCTTTCTCTCCTTCCCCACTCGTCCTGCCGACTGTGTGCTGCAGCAGGTTGGGATCCGGCGACCTCGAGGAGTTCTCTCAGGTGCTGGGAAGGGCAGATGAGGTGTTCGGAGGGCTCTGGAGGAGGATACAGCTTCTACATTATTGATTTAATTGAATTTGCATGGTGTTGCGCAGCCTGGATTCAATTGCCTGGAGAGAGATCTTGTACTTGATGTGCTGTAGCAGAATAAATGCCAGAGTGCTTGGGTACAAGTGCTTCATAGCTACAGCCCTGAGAGCCCAGTGCATGCAGCAGCTGGCTGGGGGTCTGACCCAGCCATCCCCTCCTGCTGTGCTGAGCTGTTTTTCCCCACTCCTTTGCTCCTTCCCTGTGCTCCATCCCACTGGGCTCGCTGTCTCTACCCCTGGATGCCTGTGTGAGTTGCCCTGGTGAGGTGAGGGCTTTTTCTGGAGTCGCTCCTTGCTGCTCTGTTTCCTCCTGGGATCTCTGCAGCCCTACAGCAGTGAACCTCCTCCTTATTGCAGCTGAAAGCCCAGGGCTCTGCGCTCACACCGGTGCTGACTGGAAGTTCTTTTCCACTGGGGAAGTCAGTTGTTGAGGTGGGAGATTTGGGCACATGGCTGTCACAGTGCAGTCATGGAAAGTTGGCTGGCTTGTCGTGTTTATTTGCTCAGATAGAACTTCTTATGACGTGGTCATGCAGCTTTTTCCAAGGCTGCTGGAATGCGGTGTTTGTTCTTTCTTCTGCTATTTTTTTAAAAAAAGAAGCACTGTCTGAGTGAAGCCTGAAAACTGTGTATGCAGTTGTTTCTTATTGTTGTGGGCAATGCTACAGGCTTCTGTAACCAACGAGGGGCTTTCCCTTTTCTCCTTTTAGAAGATAAATAGCACAGAACCCCTTTGTTGCTGTAACTGCAGCTCCCAGTACTGAGCTGGCAGAGCTTAACAGTTTGCCACATGGAAATCACCAAAGGCACTGTACGTGCTCCTGAGAAGGCAAGGAGCTCTTCATCTGCTCATCCTCCTCTGACTTGTATTTGCCATTTCTCATTTACCACGGCCTCTTCTGTTGAGCATTTGGGCTGACTGGTGTGGGTTCCGGGCTGTGAGTTTGGAATTCCAGGCTCCTGCAATAGGGAGCTGGTGAGATGGGTGAGGATCTGCTTGCTGCAGCCCCTGCCCTTTGTAGGAGCCCAGCCCTGTCCTGCAGAGTTCTTTTGAATCGAGCTGAAGAAAAGCAATTTGATGATTAGGAGGAAGAGGGACATTTCATTAATTATAGATCGTGACAGATAGCAGGAGAAAAAACGAAAGTAGCAGTTGTTAGCTCTCCTTCCACTGCGATGGAATGAAATTTGCCCAGTTTTAGTCTAAATGCATGCATTAATTTTCCTACAGAGAGGAAAGCATTTGCTCTCCTGCCTGCTGTAGGGCTGGGCTGCAGCACTCGTTGGGGATTGTGCTCAATAGCTTTGTTCTACTCTACACAGCAGAGTATATTGGTGTTTGTTTCTCTCTCTCATGTGCTCATTGCACCAGGGCACATCTTAGTGCTGGGAAATGAGGGCCACAGATGTTTCCTTTCACCTGTCCCACCTGGTGTCAGGCTGCCATCAGCAGGAGGTGTCAGAAGGCTTTTCAGCAAAGGGAGCTTTTGTTGTTCTTCATCAGGAGGACCTGCAGGAGCAGCCAGGCCATTCAGCATAGGATCCATAGCCTGCTTTGTCCTTGTCTAGCAGAGCTCATTGCCTCCTCTAAAATAAAAAACAGTGCTATTTCTGTGTGTCCCCATCTCTCCCTGCTGCTGTGTGTAGGAGACCTCCAGGGTCAGAGGTGCTTGGCACCCAGCTGTGTGGCAGCACAGTGACCTGTCACCTCCTGTTAGATGTCTCCAGCATGAATAGTGACAGAACACTTGGTCACTTCTTGCTACGTTCCAAAATCTGCTTTAACTCTTCTTCCTGTTGCTGCAGGTGAAGGAGGAGAAGGGTGTCTGAATACCTATGAATGAGCTGCAATGGATAACAAAGACTCAGAAGCTGAGATCCACCCTCTGAAGACAGAGGATGTGAAAGCTCAAGAGAACCATGAGAACTCTGTGGAGAGGAGAATTATCATCAAGCAGTCGTCTCAGCTGTCTCGGCTGTCCCGCTGGCGCACCGCCGCCTTCTTCGTCTCGTTATTTTTGTGTCTGATCATTGTGTTTGCCTTCTCCTTTATCATTCCTTGCCCAGAGAGGCCTGTTTCAGAGAGAACTTGGCTCCGAAGCTATGACAGTGCAGGTGAGTTTGCTGGAGGAGAATAGTTACCTTGGGTCCCGTTCCCTTCTGGGTTATGAATTGGAATTGTTGAACTCTGCCTAAGGCTGATGTGGAGCTGGGCCTGCAGGAGTGCTGCTCTTGGGAGTTAGGGCTGTGAACACTTGACCTGGATAAGCAATGGCCCGTCATAATTGGAGTGGCCTTCCACGAGGTGTTTACAGGATCTAATAGAGAAATTAAATGCTGCTCTGAAGCACTAATGAGCTCACAGACCAGTCTTACTTGGAAAATAACGGGGAAGGGTGCCTAGGAGCAAATCTGTGTTGCAGTTGGGTCTGTGAAGTGCTCCCTTTGGTTTGGGGACCATTAGGCATCCTTTTTCTATCAGTATGACTTTCCAGCTTTTCTCTGTGGCTAACAGTACAGGGAGAAGAGCAATTGCATCTTGTTACTTTATTAGCTGCACAAAGTTATAGTTGTTTTAATCGGCTCTTTAACCTGGGAACTGCTCCTTGGTGACTCAGCATCCACTTCTGTCAGTGCTTTCCTTTAATCTTGTGTGTGGTGATTGTGTGCTGGTTAAGCTGTAACTGCAGAGGTAGTTCTCCCCACCAGGGACTGAACTTTATGCTTTAATGCCTAAATCCAAAGTTCTGCTACTTTGAGATATATATGGCTGCTTTTAGCTGAAAGTGAGAAAGATTATATATTTGGGACTGTTCTGTTTTTTTTTCCCCCATATTTTGGGAGTAGCAACCCCACCCCAAGACCAGAGTTGTTTTTTGTTAAACATAGTTCAAATTCTGGATGCCTGGCTATAAAAAGAGATGAATCCTCCAGGGGATGACGAATGAAAACAAATAATCCTTTGGCACTGACTTCCAGTGCTTAGTGCTCATGTAGATGCCTTTTTTTTTTTGGTTTATACAAAAGCCAATTTGTCCTGTTGTCGTGCAGTCAGAGCTGGAGGCAGTGAGTGGGTCTCTGGGCATGTGTGCTTTGCTGCAGCCAGCTGTGCTGATGGTTGAGGCAGTCCTCACCAGTGCCTGACTTCTGGTCTCTCTTACAGTGGCTTACCCGTTTCTTGCTATACAAGATGTGAACGAAGACAAAGTGCAAGATGTCATCTTTGCTTTTAAAGCCAGCAATGGCAGCAGCAGCTTCAACAGCTCCTGTTTGGATGAAGGTAGCTGATTCTGAAACAGAAGGCCTTGTAGTAAGGGCTGCTCCTTCTTTTAGTTAGGATTAATGGGGCTGCTGTGGCTGATGTCCTGAGGTGGGTGCCAGTGTTGGAGTAGTGCCCATAATGTCAATTCTTCTCTGTGTCATTAAATTTGAAGCACTGAAATGAAGATAAGGGGAAATACAGTGGTTCTGGGAGAGAAAACAGGGTGGGGGTAGGACTGGGGCAAGGCACAGCGCCTGGGTGGTGCAGCGTAGCAGATGTGGACAGGGCTCACACTCCCTCTGATGCATCTTCTCTACAGGTCTGCCTTCTCCATGTGCTTTCATCACTGCTTTGTCCGGCACGAATGGCAGAGTGCTCTGGGAGAGGCCTGCTGCCACAGAGGTGGAATGGATGCAGTGTGGCATCAAGCAGCTCGGAGGGGCCCCAGGCTGCCTGCTGGTGGGGCAGCCGGTGTCACTGACTGCAGTTGACCAGCAGACAGGTGGGTGGCAGGCAGAATAACAGGGAACAGCACTATTTTCATTCCTCACTTTGTGGCTGTCACACTTTGGGAACACTGATGTGACATCACGAGGTGATGTGGACAATGTACACGGAGTATTTATCATCTTAAAAACCTTGCCAGAGCCATTGGCTGGGCCCTTGAGAACTGCCTGTTCTCTGTTCCAACGACTGGACTCTGTTGTGGTGTTTTGTGCCAGCTGCTGTATTATGAGAACAACTTTTCGACAACTTTTAAAACAGGAGAAGCAGCCAGCAGTTGTGAATGTTACTTGATGCTCCTGTGGGCTGGACACAGACCAGTAGTGTTTCTCAGTGAACAAGTGTTAGGAGTGCCTGCAGTGGCAACAAGCATGGGAGCTACAGGGATTGGAGATCTGAAAGTCATCAGGGAGAGTGCACAGGAGAAGTATATTCACTGGTCTGTAGCCTGGGATTTTGCCTGATTTCTCTGGGAAGCCTTCTTCATTTCTGCACCTCTAGATGAAGAGATTCTTCATCGTCTTGCCTAAAGCTGGGGGGAGGATAAAGAATGCCTGTGCTTCTGTAGGAACAAGTCTGTTGTGCCTCGAGCCTTCCTCTCTGAGGAAAACTGAGATACGTTTCCATTTTGGGGATCAAAGGCTATAAACAATACGTGCTCTCTCTTGGAAGCGTGCATAGGATCATGTTCTCTGTATCTGATATTGCACCCCTTACGCCCTATTTTCCAAATACTGGGAGAGAGAAATAGCAAGAAATATAAAGCTCTAAGAGATCTGAGGAAAAGCTATTGAAGCTTTTAATTTCCAGTGTAGCTGGAACAGCACATGCACACGCAGTCAGCTGGAAAGCTTCTGCAGTAACTGAGATAATTAGCACCATTTTCCTCATCAACAGGCTTTAGTACAGGTTATTTATAGACATTAATGAAGTAGTTGCTTTTAGGTCAAAGCGTAGAAAGGTGGCTGCTGAGCCAAAGCCTCATAACTGAAGTCAGCCATAAAGAAACAGCACATGTATGTAGAGAAACAGCTGGGCTAAGCCACAAGTCACAGGAACAACCTGGTAGGAGAACATCCTGCACATAAATTAAAAGCAAGAGGTGAAAAATTGCTTCTGATACAAAAATGAATACTCCATCAGTTGACATTTTTGGCACCTTTTTGCTGTGGCTCTAAGTAGGTCAGAAGCAGCTTCTTAGTGCAGTTGCTTTTGCTTTGGGTTAGGAGGACAGGTTGGAATAAAATATCAGGTTAAGTGTATTTCAAGTGGTGAAGTCTGACTTCCATCACGTACCAAAACCAGTAGCCAGATCAGTCTTTAGCTGTTAATGATTCATCATTGTGATGGGTTGGTGAGATTCCAGGGACCTCTGCCTTCAATCTCTGCCTGTAGGAAGGTTGAAGGAGGGATAGGCTGGGTATCTCAGAGTGACTGATGTGGGATTGATACAGTTAGTGTCTTTCTGTCGATTCAAATTGTATTACATCTGGCTTGCTTTGTTGCCAGAATAAGTGACATGAGCAAACAAGAAGGAAGACATAGGTATTTGTGTGCTTCTGTTTGTGTGGAGCACTTAGCATTCCTGTGTGTGAATGTAAAACAAGCAATCTGGAACACAGGAATTTAAGATTAGCTGTTCTAAACCAAACCAAAGATTCTAAACCCAACCAATAGTTGGGTATTCTGCCTCTACCACGGATGAAAACAGCATCCATAGGAAGGATAGGGGTGGGTGTGTGGTGGCACCTTCTGCCTTTACCTGTGTTTGAGCCTTGGGAGTGGGTCTGGTGACATTTCTTCAGTGGCAGAAATCATGAAATAAACCAAGGCTCTTCAGCCTGAAGAGTGTGTGACTAGGAGGAGTAAGTCTGTTTTTCTGCTTATCACTCAAGACTTCACAAAGAATGGTTGTTTCCCATCACAGTTCTTCATTGCTCCGTGGTTCTTTTATCTTTCTGCATATCTGCTGTGTGCAGAGGGCTGGGAATTCAAAGGTGTTCAGTAAACAAGTGGACAAGGACATGGCAGAGAGGTCTGACAGTGCTCTGTACAAAAAACCTGCCTTTATTTCAGGCAATGTGTGAGCTGCAGGCTGGGAAAGCACAGTGTTGGGGTGTGCATTCATCCAGCATGAAGCAAGCAATCCTGGTCCTTCCCTTTGCAGTTCCCTGCAGTGAGGGCTGCACTCAGCCACGGAAGTTTTGAAGTCCTAATTTTATTATTCCTTCCAGACCAAAACAAAACCCTTCACTCAGGCTGGATTTACTGTCTAGGCACTTGTCTTGTTGGCTTGCATTGCTGTGCTTTTGCTGTGATCCTGGACTGTGAGGGAGCATCATAGTGCTCTGCCTGTCTGGCAGAACAGTCAGATCTCTCATTAACAGAGCAAGGTGGAGTTGGATTCACAGTTCGTGTTCCTTGGGGGCTGTGTTGGACTTTGTAAGCTCCTTAATCCCTTTGTGTTGAAGCTGTCTCAGTTACCACGATGAGAAAAATCAGACTTTCAAGGTAAATGGAGTAAAACACCTTTATTACAACTCTTTTCACTGTCTCACCAGCAAAGAACTGAGCATTATGCATCAAAATACGAATTCCAGCAGGCTGATCTACTGATGGAGCTTTGGGCTATACTGAAGCCAGTTATTTATAGTTTATATATAGTTTATAGTTATAGAATATAGTTATTTAAAACTCTTTGTAGTTTTGGCTGCTCAGGTTTTTTTGTTTGTTTGTTTGTTTTTAGGGGTAGAATTGTTTGCCTTCCCCTTATTTCCGTGGGGGCATTTTTCTATTTCATATCTGCTGTTCTAACAACAAATCCACGTTGGTTTTTTTTCCCCAGTATTTCAGTAAAAATTCCTTCCTGTGGAGGAATCTCACTGGCAATGCAGCCTGCCTTAAATGACTGCAGGCAGTGTGGGGCAGTCATTCCTTGGCCCTCAGTTTGACTCCCTACAAAGAACATGATTATTTTGCATTCCTGATCTGAGGATGGCTGCGTGGGATGCAGTTCAAAGGGGCTGGTTAAGGATTTCCCCTCAGAGCACCTAGTTAGGCACTTAAATTCTTCCTTAAAAAAGAAAAAATAAAAAGCACAAAACCACAGCAGTCTCTCATCTCAGCAAATACTGCTGCAAATTCCCCATGTCAGTGTCTGGAAAGTCACCAGCAGCCCTGGGCAGAGTGCATCTGAGTGCAGCCAAAGCTGTGCTACCTGCATTGACAAGCAGCTGAGGGACAGAAGTGTCTGAAGAGCTGTGCTCTTCCAACCAGGGAGAGAGGAGGGGTGCGAGCTGAGCTCTGAGTGCTCCAGGAGCATCTGCAGGAGTCAGGTTGCAGTAAAACGTGCTGCTGGAAGTAGCCATAAATGCTGTGATCAGAATTCAGCTTCTTTGTGGTCTTAAAATGCCTGCACAAATTTAAGTACACAGAATCAAGTTTTTAGGTAGCTGGAGAGGATTTTCCGTGCAGTGAACACAAAGGAAAATGTCTTAACCTGGGGCACTGAAAGCAAGCTGTTCTTTGTGCCTGGCTGATGGACTTGAGCCTTTATGCAGGCAGCTGGAATTGCTTTCCAGTAAGGGCTGGAATTGTGGATTCTGGGTCTCATTTGAAATGCAGAAATACCCCATGATGAGCATAATTGTGGCTGCCTTGCAGTGCTGATGGGCTGTCTGTGAGTGACTGCTGCAAAGTGCTTTGAGGAACAAGAGTGTTTTAAAGCCTTTCAACCTGAAGTGCTTTTTAGTGAGCATTTCCCAATAACTTCTCTTCTAGGGGAAGTTCAGTGGAAACAGTCCGATGACTTTGGAGATAATTATACTGTGCTGACTCCCTTGTCAGTGATTCCAGATGTGGATGGTGATGGAGTTCAGGACCTGATAATCTTTATTGCTACAGGAGATAAGGTATGTCACTGTGAAGCTACGCTAAGTCCTGTGACCAGACTGCAGGGCATGGCAGGAATGCTGTTTGTTTCAGTCCTGCAGATTGCAGAGGAAGCGCCCAGAGGCCTCTGATGTCTGTGTTTGAGGGAGGTTCTTTCCCACACTGCAGAAATGTACTCCCAAATCAATGCAAGTGTTCTATGGCTTAAGAAGAAAACCATGCAGGAACCAGTCTCCTTTTTCAGTCTGTGTTCCCCCCAGGCTGTGTATGGAGAGCACCTAGGCAAGATGAGCTTGCAGTTTTCTATGACCATGCTCAGAGAAGTGGAAGTGAACAAACCCTGACAGGTTTGGCTCCTGGAGCAAAGCATGTCTGACAGCCAGTGCCTCTGTACAACCACTGGTCTTCCTGGTACCTTCCATGGCTCTGCTTTGCCTGCTTTGCTCAGTTCTTTTCCTGCTGTCGCTGTACTGATCAGTTCTGACTTGGGTTCACATAGTGAAATTGCTGTTAGTTGCCATTTCTCTTTTCCAATATTGCTTTTCCCACTTCTTAGAAGGGAAAAGTGAGGTAGCTAAAAATGTTTTCATCACAATCCATCCACATCCATAACTGAGTGATGTGCATCACCTGCATGTGCAACCTGTCCTTCCTGTTCAAACCATGCAGAAGTTGTAGTTTCCTGCAAGGCTCATGGGAGGAGCAGGGGCCGTGTATCCCCACACCAAAGCACTATAAGCAGATTGAGTTCTGCTTTCAGAGACATTGCTGTTGCCAGAATCATCAGAAATTCTATCCTCTCCAACTCCTACATTTCTCTTCTGTTTCCTTTCCTTGCTGCTTTTCCTATCCCAGTTATCTCAAGACTTTTGTTTTTCTAATCTTAGGCAGGACGTGTTTGAAAGTAGTCTCTGTTCTGCTGAACTGCTGTATGATTTGTTTTCTGTTTAACCTTTCTGGTTGTTTTGGTACAAAACCCTTCCCTCCCTCCCTCCCTCCCTTGGGACTTGGCAGGCACTCTCTCAACTCAAGTAAAAGTACACTGTGCATTGAGAAATGGCACAAATTATGGGGAGCTTGAGGGCAGCTCTGCAGCTGGGAAAGGCAGTCCCTTCTGAAGGGAAATTCAGTCCTTAAAGTTCCTAACTTTGTTGCTGCCAAGGGCTGAAGTTGAATGTGATGTTGTACTCCTGTTTCCTGACATAGCAGAGCGTTGAGCAGTGTATGGGGAAGCCTCCAGGTGCTTGATGGTAAGGGGTTTGGATGGCCGTTTCTGCTAAGTCTCACTGATCCTTACCTGCTGCAAGCTTCAGCACAAACACATCCTGGAAAATAAGATTTATTTCAGGATACCTTGCCTGTAGCACCTCACAGAGGTATGAAGCAGTGCTCTAAGTAAGATACTGTGTATTCTCCCTGACTATATGAGTGCCATTGGTTGGTACTATCCTGGGGCAGCTGCTGCACCAGTGCTTCCCAGTAAAGATGAAGCTGTTCAGTAAGTGCTGGTGTGTGTATCCTCCTGTATGAAAGGCTGGGAACAGCTGGAGAATGTGCTGCTCTCCTCCCCAGCAAACTCTATCCCTTATTCACTTACAAAGCTCCCCAAAATCACCTGCAGCAGATTTTCTTTGCTCTCCTGTTAGTCCTGCTCAAGGAGGAGGGGAGCTCTCTGTTCTTGCCTGACTCAGCACCCCTACAAGATGCTGTTTCTCAGTCCTAGTGTGCTGTGCTTCCCCCAGATCACACCTCTTGCCCACTCTTTTAAGTTTCATCTTGACTCTACCCTTTTTTCTCTTGGGTGAAGTGTTGTGTGGATTCTGTTGCTCTGATCCCTGCACTAAGAGAATACAAAGAAACCTGGCAGCTTTTTTTTAATTTTTAGTCTCTGTGAACTCACAACAGCTTTAGGAGGGTGATTTTAGGGCACTAAAAATAGTAGCAGAGCTACTCTGTGGCAAGAACTTGGGTCCCCCTGCTTTTGGCAGGCCTGAAAGGACAGAAACAGCTGTGCTGGCTGGTCTGCACAGTGCTTCCTGCAGGCACTGGGAGAGAACACTGTGAGAATGCTGTATTCGGAGTGATGCAACTTTAACCCTTCTTTTTTTGTTTTTAATCCCATCCCTGTGTAGATTAAGACCTTCATCCATTCAGGAAAAAATGGCAAACAGATCGGCTCCACTGGAAGCCTGAATGTGGATGGGGAAGCTCGTTATGTCATGCTGAGCCCAGGCTCCTCCCACTACTTCCTTTTCTATACAGGTACAGTCCTGTGTAGGACTTGAGTCTGAAAGAATGATTGTAACTGTGATGTGTTAATTGTTGGAAACAGTGTTTTACATTCTCAAATCTGTGTCCTGTTTCATGCAGTGAAGGAGGTATTTGAGGTCAAGAGAAGGAGGGACTTCTGCTGAAACTGAAGTTCATTATAATGTAGTATTTTCATATTTAAAATGTTGAGAATGTAGATTTTAAACAGTCATTCACATAGCAAGTGATTCCTGTGGAACTCATGGGTTGTGAACAGATAAGATGCTGAATGTGTTCGAAAGCAGGCTTCAGTCTCAAGATACTGCTACAGCTCTGAGATATAAACCCTAAAAATGCAGTTTGTTGTTCATCTGCCAGATCCACTTCAGACATGATCTGGAAATTTGTAGCACTCAGAGCAAGCACAGGGTAACTTTTCTCCCTCTTTTTTGCTCTTCTTTCTTTACACAGCCAACTCTCTCTATGCGTATTCCCTAAAAGATCTCTACAGTGCAGCAACTGGGATGGAAATTAAACTTCCTGGCCTTGAGCAAGATCCTCAGTGGAAGAAGAACATTGACCACACCACACACCGCCTGACCCCTCTCAGGTTTGGTATTGGATCTTGTCTGCTGGTGGGTTGGAGGGTTCTGGTGTTCCTGCCTTTGTTCTGTCCTGACTACCCATAGCTTGGGGAGGGGGCTGGTATTGGTGGCTTTGTCAGGATTTCACAGTAAAGGAGAGGAAGCAGGGTTGGAATTTTGTATGTGAGTGCAATTGGAACATGACTTGTACCTCTGGCAACTTATCCAGTGTGAATCTGGTGCTTCAGCTCCCAGCCCTGCTTGACTTTCCTGCCTGTTAGAATGAGTTTCTGACTCTTACTGTGCAGGGGAAAAAAACTTAAAGGAGTCTCTCCACTCCACCCCCCAAAACAAAGACCACAAAGAGCCAACATTCCCAGTCTAGAAAGCATAATCCATTTTCTGTTCCTGTTCAGCACTGGAGACATTCGTTACCTGGCAAAAATTCCTGGCAGATCACGGGAGAACATCCTGGTTGTGAACTCAGAGATGGCCATGCTGATCAATGCACAAAATCTTCAGCCACTGTGGACCCTCAACGTGTCCCGTGTCATGAGGTAATGTTACCTATGTGGATTCTGTACGGCATTCCCAGGTTTCCAGCAGCAGTGATCCTGGCAGATGCTATTTTTTTATTTGAAACATAAAAGCCTGCGATGTAGCAGTTGAGTCTTTTATTAGGTTTTTTTTTTTGTGAGGATAGAAGCTGCTCTGAAAGAACAGGGTATACACAAGCTGTTAGGTTGTGTTGTGATCTGTCCTTTCTCCTCCCTTTCTCTTAGTGAGCCACTGCTTGGTTACTACAAACCTGATGTTCTTGATGTTGTCCTTGAGAGTGAGATCGGACCCAACAGGAAAAAGGTTTGAAAGCTCTTCCTTTTAACTTCCTTTTTCTCTGCATGTCTCAGTTCAAGCAGACATTTTGTCGAGGGCAGCTGGTATGATGTGCTGCCTCCAGCTGATTTTAGAAGGCTTTTGGCTGGGAAATGATCTCTTTTAAGAAGCTACTGAAGGCAGCCCAGACACTTTAATTCTCAGCAAGTGACTTCGATGACAGAGCTTTGAACCCCTTGAAATAACTTGCAAGACTTGTGACTTCACTCTAACGTGGTCCACCCCAGGTCTCACAGCTCTGTGATCAAGTAGAAACTCAGCTTCAAGTGTCTCCTTATCTTCCCCTGTGTCAGACACTTGCTCCTTTAGACAGTATGGGATAGAGACAGCTGACTTGACCTCTTACTCGCAGCTCATAGAGCTCTTTGATACGTGTTCCTTTTCTTTCTTCCCTGCTAGGTTATGATTGTTGAGGGTGGATCTGGAGCAGTCCAATGGGACCTGAAGCTGAACTCTAGAGCAAAGAGCCCCAGGCCAGCCACACTTTCTACTGCTGATCATCGGTCCACCTTCCTCATCTGGGGTGAATACCAAGTAGCAGGAAATGAAACGGTGAGTAGTGCTGCTGAATGGCTGCTTTTTTCTAGACTCAGAGTCAGAATTGTCTGGAGCCACCCCATTTTCCCAGTGTTCACATTCAGTTCCGTGTGTTCCCCTAACACTGCATCATTCTGTGCAGAGTGTGGAGTATCCACGTGTCTCTGATCAGTCTGGTCTGCGTGCAGCAGGCATGTGGTCTTGTCTGTACTAGGTCCTCACAGTGTCCATGGCAGTGTCCCTGCTAGCAGCTAGTGTGGCACCAGCAACATTCATCATCCTCAGCCTGGCTGCATAGAGAAAATGGACTTATCTGTATGAGCAAAGGCACTGGATTGCCCATAGCATTGCCTCAGTGTGCTGCTGTATTTGAGTTGAGAGGCTGCTGGCTTAGTACCTCTGAATCTGCTGCTGGAGCCTCTGCAATTGTACTGCTTGCAGTGATGTCTCATGGCCGCATTAATATCCCCTCTGTGCTCCAAGGCAGTGTCTGGTGGCCCTGATGTGTTGTTCAGCTGTGTGACAGAGCCCTGCTGGAGCAGTGGCTGGCAGTGTTAGTGACAGTTTGTCTTGGAGGATGCCTGAACACCAGCTGAACTTCCTCTGCTTTTCTTGCTGAGTTTGTCAGCCCTGCGGCAAATCTGTCTCTTGCACACAGCAGACAGGCCTGTTGTTTGCAGGAAAGTCAGGCTGGGGAGTAAGGCACCAAGCAGTCAATAAAATGCAGCTCTGGTGCTGGTGGCATCAGACAGGATATGTTGGCCGTGCACAGATAAGCGACTGGATGCACTCTGTTGAACATGAAATAATGGCTGAGCCTGGTATTTGGGATTAGTGTGTTCTGAGCATGTCTTGTTGGTTACAGATGTCAGCAGCTCCTCTACAGAAGCTGTATCTTTTCCATCCTTCCTACACTAATGTCCTGTTGGAGCTCCGCAACAGCACAGATCAGATAATTGCCTTCAATGGTAAGTTCTCCCCCTTCAACCCTCCAGCGAGGAGGTGCAGGAGGACACCTGCTGCTGCCTCCAGGATGCTGGGTGCGTGGTGTTGGGCTCATGGCAGACATCTTATGCTGGGCTGTTCCTTCTGCTCTGTTCCAGCCGCGCTGTTTGAGCGCAGCCGTCACGCCTGCTATGTGCTGTTGAGGGGGCCTCAACCCGGCGAGGAGCCTGGGCTGGTGTCTCTGATGAAGCGTAAGCTGAAGGAGGATGTCTCTGAGAGCAGAGTGATCTGGCTGAGCCAGGTGGCTGTGGACAGTGAGCAGTACATCCGTGACCGCCTTTACAGGATGCGGTTCCACAGCAGAGTGTGAGCTTGCTAGGAGACCAGGAGAGTCTGCAGGCTGCCTCTCTTCTGCAGCAGTGCTCTTAACAAACCCAGATCGTGGATTCAAATGGGAAGCTGCCTTTCTCGATCCGCAAACCAAAGCATGGCTGGCATGGAAGCACCCCCACTGCCTGGGTATGCCCAGGATGAGGGAGCAGCTGCCAATGCATCTGTTGTCAGAGCTGATGGGACTTCAGTGCTTGGCCACCACTGAAGTGTCGTGAGCTCAGGGATGAGGGCTTTCCCCTTCATCATCTTTCTGTGCCCACGGAACTGTGCTGGCTCAGTCTGTAGATGGAGGAAAACGTGCTCTCTGGGGATGCCTGCACTGATTGTTTTTTGGGTGCTTGCATGAGAAGTGGAGCTTCTGTGTGTGGTGTTTGGTTTCCTTTCTGAGTCAGCTCTCCTGGCTGCCGGAGAAGTGCTTGGCTGCAGGCTGATTTACAGTTACACTCTCCTGAATTTGGGCCCCTGCTTCAGTAGTGGGTATGTGTACTGCTAGACTCCAGCCTTGTGACTGGGCTAGGTCTTACCTGGGCCAGCAGAAGAACACAGATTGAAGTGTCATTCTACTTAGAAAATGACCTTTTCTCCTCAGAACAGTCCCGTGTGCCTCCCCCTGCAGTCAAAAGCCTATCTGTGTTTTCTATGAAGCTTACTTTCCAGCCAGGCTGTGCAGCATTGGTGACACCAAAAGGGAGCTGGTCTCCTACCTGACTTATGCACCAACATTCCCCTCACCTCATTGTGTTTATAGGGGATAGGAAAAGCAGCCTAGGCTGACTGGTCCCCTCAGGTACGGATACCACCTCTCCTCTTGGTTTCAAGGTGCAAGGGAATCTAGGCCATTTTTTAACAGTGGAATTGCACTTTAACCTTTCCTGGGAGCTTGGCTTGCTGTTCCTGGGAGTCCTGTTCCCAAGTAGCAATGCCAGCTGTCCTGCAAATGTTCCTGCAACCTTACAGCTGCTGTGGTGCCCATCTGAGTATGGTCCCCAGTGCCAGGAGGTGGGCATGTTGCAAGACAGACATGAGCCACTTGGTGAAACTACAGGAACTATTTTTGCAGCACAGCTCCATGGAGAGCTCTGTGCTGCCTCCTTGCCCTGGGTTGAAGTGATGCTGGGTGAGGAACCCCAGGTTGCTGGCTCTCAGGGGCCAGCGTGGTGTCCCCAGAGAGAGAGTGAGTTGCTGTGTGGAGGTGATGTCTCACTTGGAGGCTTCTTCATCATGAGATGTATGCCCTGGTGGGCACCAGTGCAGGCTGCAGAAGCAATGTGCAAAGCTTGGAAAAGATTTTGAGTAGGCTGCCTGGTCCTGAAATCTGCTGTCCCTACACCAGCTGCACTGAGACACAACCACTGTTCAAACACTGGTGTCCATTTGATTGCTGAGAAGAAGGTGGGCAGAAAACGCACAGCTTAGCGTGATGGAGTTTACACCCTTAGAAACATCTCTGTTTAGTGCTTGGAGTGGGCACCTGTTGCTGCTGTCAGGTGGCCCTGGGGCTGCCTGAAGGATGCACTTGCACTGTGGCCCAGGGCTGAGTGCTGCAGGTGGTGTCCCACTGCAATTCTGTGGGTGGGAGCAACTACCTGGGCTGTATTCTCATCGTAACGACACTGTCCTTCATCCTCAGCTCTCAGACCTGACTTTTCCAGTCGGTAACACTGAATGTCCCTTAGGAATGTTGGGTTTTCAGTTCTGGGGGGCTTTTCTGGCTTTAAGTTGTCCATTTGTGTTTCCAAATACTTTGGAGACCCAGAGTTCCCTGTGGCAGCTCAACTCAATGAACCAGTGCCAAACCAGCACCTTCTTAACGAGTCCCTTTTTCCAGCTTCTTTCCCTGTGTAATTGTTTTCTGCAGTATTTAATGAATGACTTTGTGCCTTGATTCAATAACTCAGATGGGTGATGATGGCATTATATCACTGTGTAATGCATTAGTGTGTTTTTTAACACTAAGACTATTGGGTTCTTTAACTTATTGCAAATTGTGCTGTATAGGACTTGGTCTAACTGTAATGGTTTCAATAAATCCTCTTTTGCATTGTTTGTAAATGGTGCCCTGCTTCTGTTGTTGCTGCTAACGAACAGCCAAATTTATGCAAGAATGGAGTGTGACTTCCCTAAGGCAGAAAACCCCTTCTTTGGGAGGGACCCAGTGTCCTGGTGATGCTCCCCTGCTTGCAGTTTGTCTTTGCCCTGTGGAGGTGGGTGCCTGCCCTTTGTTCTGGTGGTGACACTTACCCTGAGCACGGCATAACCCCAGGGAGCAGCTGGGATGTGCCAGCCCAGCCAGCTGTGCTGGTGTCAGGCCAGAGGTGAGCAGGAAGAGTGTGAGCTGATACTGAAGTAGCTGCTCCTCCCTTCTGGCAGGGAGGAGCACTGTGCTGCTGGAAAAAAAGGGGCCACTTGGTCCCTTAGAGCCACTCTGTGGAGGGGCCCTTGCAAATGTGCACCTCTGGGGTGGCACTGCAGACCCCTTGGCTCTCCTGTTGCAGCAGTGTGGATGCTGGACCCTGCAAAAGCAGTTAGGTAACAGAGCTGGGCTGGCCTGTCCCTTCCCCCTGCCTGCGACTCGCTGACCTGCTTTTACACCCCAGATTCCTGCTGCAGTCCATCAGCATGAAAATCTCTCTCCAGGGCTTGGATTTGGATCAAGCCAGAGGAAGCCGCGCAGCACGCAGTGTCTCCTGGAGCGTGGCACCATCTGTCACTGCCCCGTGGCTGCCAGCACTGAGGTCCCAGGTTCCATCCCACCACTGAGGCTCCTGCAGCTTCCCCAGCACTTCACCCCAGGGCCTTTGTGTGCATCAGCACCAAACTGAGCTGTGAGCAGCCACTTTGTGATGGGGCTACGTCAGCAACAGGGAAGGGTTCCTGATCCTGCACATCTGCACACTTTGTCAGTAGTCACAGTGCAGGCTGGCCCCCCTTGGTCCTTCGTGGGCTGGGGATGACCCCACGCTGCCCTGTGGCTGTGCTCAGCTCTGAGGCTGAGTGCCAGAGAGCATGAGCCTGCCTCGTGTTTATATAATGGCAGCTATTAATCCCCCACAGCTGGGGCTCAGCTCTGGGAAAGAGAATAATCCTGCGTGAGATCCTCAGGCTCTGCTCAGATTAAAGGGTGGCGGGCAGGCAGAGCAGCTCAGCTGCCAGCCACCATCCCTGCCTGCCCCTGCCAGCCCATGGGGCCTCTGCATCCCTCGCTTGTTGCCTTCCCACTGCACCCAGCCCAGCTCCAGGTGCCTGCTGCACGCTGGAGATGCACACTGCTGGAGGTGCATGCAGGGCTGCAGGGATCCCTCCTGCACTCCCGTGTCACCCCTTGCTCAACACCATGAAGCCACAGCACTTTCCCCACGGGATCCTTTATTTCTGCATATGTTGCATTTGCCCCATGGCGCAGGCCGGGTGCCAGCTCCCTCTGGGGTAGGAAGGATCTGGGGGCAGCGAGTGGGGTCTGCAGGGGATGTATGGCTTCTCTCCTTCAGTGCTACTGCGGGCTGGGTGCTGTGGCAGGGCCTAGCTCTCCTCCTCGGGCACAGCTGCAGGACTCCTGCTCTTCTCCTCGCCCTTGGCCTCGGTGTCACCGGCAGGCAGGAGCAGAGCAGGGCTGGGGCTGGAGTGCCGCTGCTTGCGCATGAAAGGGAACACCCTGCAGGCAGAGCTGGGCTGAGCACTGCGGGGACCCTCAGCACCACGGGACCCCAGCACTGCCCTCACCGCTTCTTGGTTTCCGGAGGGATGACGGCCTCTGCCAGCAAGTTCCTGTAGAGCTCCGACTTGAGGAAGCGTGGGTAGGAGTCCTGGGGGAGCGGAGCATCAGGCCGAGGCTGTATCCCAGCACTGCCCACCCCGTACCCACCTTCTTCATCAGCATGTAGATGTGCATCTGTGCGTCGTCCATCACGTAGCGGTGGGGCGTCTTGATGCCCTCCAGCGTCCGCTCCATGGTTTTGCTGTCGATGTTCACCCAGCGCGTGGCTCCGGGAGCCAGGAACTGCCTGGGGATCGATACCAGGTGACCAGCACCCAGCCTGGCCCGGCCCCACGCTGGGATGGAGGGCTGGGATGGCCTCATCCCAAGGACCCGGCCCTGCTGCCGCATGGCACTCACTGGTAGATGGAGTCCACGATCTCATTGATACGGGACTGCTCCCCATAGCGCAGCTCCTCACACGCCTCCCAGAAGCTCAGATTCTCAGCTGGGGAAGGGGATGCGGTGTTGAGGAGGAGGAGGATGTGATGTCGGGATGGGGAAGTGGCATTGAGGAGGAGAACATGGTGTTGGAGAGGATAGATGGTGTTGGGGAAAGGGTGTGGTGTTCAGATGCAGGGGTGGCATTGGGGAGGGGATGTGATGTTGGAAGGAGAACATGGTGTAGGGATGGGAGGTGATGCTGGGAAAGGGACGTGGTGGTGCTGGGGAAGGGACGTGGTGTTGGAATGGGGACATGGCGATGGGGAGGCCGTGATGCTGGACACCACCCATGGGCAAACCCTCCTCAGGTCCCAGCAGGGCCCAACGGCAAGGCAAAGCCGCACAGCATGGAGGCAGTTGGCGTGAGGTGGTGGGGCAGGTGGGGTGGCAGACAGGGCCCGCTCACCACTAAACTCCTTCTTGAGGAACTCGAGGAGCTGTGCCCGGCCCAGCGGGTCCATCAGGAGCTCACTGAAGTTGAAGCCCCAGCGCTCCACCCGCAGCTTCGTGGGGGTCGTCACCCTGTGGGCAGCGTGCAGGAAGGGCTGGGGGCTGCAGGCATGGCCCCCAAACAGCAGGGCCAATTCTGTCCTCTCCCTACAGCCATCCTGGGGCTGCTGGCCCCCAGAGGTGCTTACGTGGGGGCATTCATGGCCCAATAGGTGGTGTCGTCGGTGATCCAGGGGTTGCTGGGTAGGCAGCCCGACATGATGGGGTCGTGGGGCACGTACTGCTCGTTGAACTTGAGGTACCTGTGGGGAGGGGTGGCTGGGGGGGCTGGGCCACATTCCATTGCCCACCGTGGCCCTGACTCTCTGGGGATGCACAGGGCCAGCACAGGGAGGGCTGAGTCTTGGGATCTGCAATGACCTCGGCTCTGCCCATCACCATTGGGCATGTGCTGAGGGGGGGCTGCCAGCCCGCTGCAGGACAGAGCTCACCCTTCGAGGCAGATGGACGATTTCACCCTGGTCCTGGCCATGGCCTTCCTGCAGTACTCGATCTGGGCCAGCCATGGGCACACGTCAGGGCCCTGCGCCACGCAGCAGCCCCATGGCTACCCCATGCTCCACTCACCTCCCGCTTGTAGTAGTCCATGTTCTTGGCCTGGAAGAGATGTGAAGGGCTGGGTGAGGGCTCAGGAGTTCTCTATGTATCCCTTGTGCCAGGGGGATGCCTCCCCCTGCCTCCACCCCACTGATGCAGCCCAGCATGAACGTGACCTCCCACCCCCTGCAGCATGGCAGCGGCCCTGGGCTGGAGACACTTACGTGGACAGATGACACGGCACATGGAGGAGAGAAGAGAAAATGCAGCAGTTAGAAAGGAGGGCTGGTGGCTGCGGGGCACAGGGTAGCACAGTGCACACAGCAGGGCAGCTGCAGGGATTAGAGCACCGGCACAGATGGCAGTGGGTGCACAGGCAAACACAGCCCTCCCTGCTTAGCCACAGCAGTGGGGGCAATGGGACACAAGGACGTTAGCAGGGCTAACGAGGTCACCATGCAGGGTGGGACGTGGTGCAGCCCCGTGGGCCCAGCTCTGCTCACCAGCTGCACACGGGTGGTGTGGCAGTTCCTGCGCTCGGGGCCCTGCTCCAGCACGTTGGGAGCTCCCGGCTGCAACGAGAGCGATGTGCTGGAGGACCCCCAGGCACACCCAGCCAGCTGTGCCCAGACTGCACAGTGCCACCAACTGTGTCCCTCCCAGCCTGTCCTCACCGGGGGCCGGTTGACGAGCCAGTAGGCCTGCTCCTGGCAGTCGATGACAATGCGGTCACCCTTCCGCCGCTGCTTGGCTGCCCTGTTTGTGCAGAAGTGGGGGGTTGGAAGCTGGGGGCTGCCCCATCCCTGCTGCCCATTGCCATCTCCATCACGTCCTCACGCTCACCGCAGCTGCTCCCGCGCCTGCATGACCACGAAGTCCCACGTGTGGTTGATCCTCTTGTGCAGGAGGTTGTAGTTGTCCTGGGGGGCAGCAGCCGGGTGGGCACAGCGTGGGAGCCTCACCCTTGCCCTGCCCCAGGTCCTATTGCTGCTCCAGCACGGGGGCAGCATCCTTATTGCAACCCCATGCCAGGTGAGCTGAGGCCCCGCAGCTCATCACACACACCGCTCACCTTCTCATGCTCGATCAGGTCGCCCTGCTTGCGGATGTTCTTCTTGGCCAGGTAAATGGCTGCAGAGGAACGGATCCACTCAGAGGGGCTGGGACCCACTGTGGTCTGTGGGGTCTCAGCTGGTGGGCACCTACCATAATCCAGCTCGGTGGCCGGCCACTTGGTGCTGGTCCAGAAGTACGGAGTCTGGGGGGAAAGGGGCCGGGCTGAGCGGCACTGGGGTGCTGTGGGGTTGGTGCTGGGACCCTGACTGCAGAGGGCACCCACCTGGAAGCGGTACGGCGACTCATCAGCACGCAGCACCAGGCTGCGGGGGTCCCGGAGCGGGTAGATGTAGCCGTGCCTCACGATTAGGTTGCCGAGGTGCAGCGACTCTGGGTGGGGGCAGCGGGGGCTGCTGGGCGGCTCTGCGACCTGCCGGGACCTCCCGCCCCGCACCGGGCACTCACCCTCCTCCGAGATGCCGTACTTCTGGATGAGCCACTCCACGATGTCGTTCCCTGAGGATCGTGACAGCGCTATGGTGCGATGCGGTGCCCCGGTCCCAGAGGGCACGCGGGGTTACGGGGCACAGCCGCGCGCCCCAGGGAGGGCTCAGCCATCGCAGCATCGCTCCCAGCTGCAGTTCTGAGCACATTTCTGAGTGCCGGGAGCCGCCCGCCGTGCTGTGCCACCCGAGGACCGTTCCCGTGCATCGCTCCCCTCCCCACCACCGCACCGCCCCGGGGCGATAGCCCACCTGTCATGGCATGGGGGATGACGGTGATGAGCAGCCTCTGGTTCCTCATCTTGATGCCCATGTCCGGGTCCTGCATGCTGACGATCATCCGCTCCATCTGCGGGGCACCGGCCGCGCTCAGCCCCACGGCGGAGAGAGCGGGGGGCACGGGGAGCCGGGACCCGGACGGGGGGCAGCCCGCAGCCGGCAGAACTGTCTCTGGGCCGGGGCAGCCAAACTTACTGCCCGCGGACCCCGACGCCCGGTGCGGTGCCCCTGCCCGCTCCCTGCCCCGTGTCCGCCCGGTGCCGGCTCACCTTGCCCAGGCACGGCATCTGCAGGCGGGACTGCCCGCCGCCGCGGGGACCGCCGATGGTCATAGCGGGTGCGCGTCCCGCACCGCACCGCACCGCTCCTCTCAGCCCGGTGCTGCGGCTTCCCCGGTCCCAACCCCGCCCCGCCCCGCCCCGCCCGTCCGCCCCGCGCTCCCCCTCGCGGCTGCAGAGCTCCGCTGCCTGCCCGGTGCCCCCCGGGGCAGTGCGTGGCAGTGCGGGGCTGTGCGGAGCTGTGCGGGGCCGGGGGGGCGGCCGGCCGTCGGGGCCCCATCGAGGGGCGGCGGGAGGAAAGCGAGGGGGTTTGCGGGGTGTGTGTGTGCAGGAGGGATACGGGGCGCTTGTGCGGGGTGCGTGCGGGCTGTGTGTATGTCTGCAGGGGTATTTGGGATATGCGGGGTGTGCGTGTGCAGGAGGTACACGGGATGTGCGCGGGGTGCGTGCGGGATGCACGCGAGGGGCGGACGACGCATTCAGGGCCCGTTCAGGGCACGGGCTGAGCGCTCGCAGCGTGCGGGCAGGGGGTGCGGAGTGCGGGCAGAGCTCCGGGTGCGCTGAGGACACGGGGCCGAGCGCCGCCGGCTCAGGATACGCCCCGATCCCGCGGCTGCCGCTCGGTTCGCGATGTGCGGGCGGGGGGACGGGGCTGCGGGCAGAGCACGCGGCGCGGGCAGTGCGGACAGGCGCGGTGCGGGCGGGCGGCGGATGAGCTCACTGCAGTCACACCGCCCATGAGCGGGGCTGGAGCCGCCCGGCGCCGAGGGGCGGGGGCGGGCGGGGGCGGGCAGCGGAGCCGCCGCGTCTGCGGGAACCGCCGCCGCCGCCGCCCCGCCGGGCCGCGCCGGGCAGCGCCGAGCGCAGCGGGGAGAGCGCAGCGGGAGCCGGGAGCGGAGCAGCGGGACCCCCCTCCCCCTGCAGAGCCCCCCCGGGGGCCCGGCGCGGCCCGGCCATGCTCGGCCTGGACGTGTGCGAGGCGGGCGGGCAGCTGCTGGAGCTGCTGTGGCTCACGCTGTGTTATCGAGGTGAGCGGGCGGGGGGCAGCGCCGGGTGCTCGGGGGGGTGGGGGGGCTACAGCGCAGGCCGAGCATCGCCCCCCGCAGCCGACGACAACAGGTGGGGCAGAGCCCGGGGGAGCCCCGCAGCGCCCATCCCGGTCGGCCCCCGGCGCTGCATCCCGGTGCGGTACCGCGAGGTGCGGGGCCGCTGCCTTCTCCCGGGGCTTGGAGACGAGCCCGGGGCTGAGCGCGGGGCCCTGCGTGTAGCGTGGGCTCCTAGAGTCGGGCGCGATGCGGTGAATGGGCCCTCGTCCCCCCCGCCCGGCATGCGCCCACCGTCGGACCCGGCCCCGTGGGTTTGTGGCTGTGCCTGCGGCCGGAGGAGCTATGGGGCAGGCAGTGCCCGGCGGGCTGCGTGGCGGTGGGGATACCAACCCCGGTGACCGTGCTCGAAGGGCGCCGCGGGCTGCAAACGCACCCCCAGCCGCACACACGCAGCACCACGGCTCATCTCGCTGCATGGCTGTGCGGAAACGCAGCCGGCGGCACCGCCTCTGGGCTCCGCTGTGCCACCGGGCCCTGGGGACACGCAGCCCTGGGGACACGCAGCCTGGTGGCATCACCGTGGCCCCGAGCAGGGAGACTGCACGGCTGCCGCATGGCAGCTTGGGGGCCATCAACCGCATCCATCTGAGCTCATCTCCCCCAGCCCGGCAGTGCTGGTGTGTCCCTGGGTCATGGGGGTCCCCGGGGTGTCCTCGGATTGCCACTGTCTGTGCCCCGCAGACATCATGGCTGACAAGGAGGGGGTGATGCTGTCACTGGAGGAAGAGGAGGAGGATGCAGACGTGGCCCTGGCGTATAAGACGCCGGAGAGGAAGAGCCTGCGGGAGATCCAGGAGCTGGACCCGGGGGATGAGAGCCTGCGGAAGTACAAGCAGGCGCTGCTGGGCAACATCCCTGTGGCCGTGGGTAAGGCTGGGACTGGGAACCCCATCACCCCAACGCCCAAGCATCCCATCACCCTGAGCATCCCATCACCCCGACACGTCACACCGGGTGATGCAGCCTCGGCGGGTGCAGGGAGCTGCGGTGTCCCCATCTCTGGAGGCATCCCCATGGGGAGGGCACGTCCCAAACGCGTCACCCGCGGGCGCTGCCTGTGCCCACCCCACTGCAGGGAGACCCCGGCATCCCCTGCTGTGGGTAACGCTGCCCGGGGACCCCGGTTGCCTTGGTTACAGGATCACCGCTGCTGTTGCCATAGGAACGGTTACGAGGGACTGGGGAATTCATTGGGATGGCGGAGATGGAGCGAGCGGCCGCGGGGGGGCTGTCAGCCAGGGGCTGCCCTTGTGCCTACGTGGGCTGGGCTGTGCCACAGGGCTTTTAACATGGGCTCATCCACAAAGGGTTTGGGCTGAGGTGCCTTGCTGCCTGGAGCCCTTTGTCCTCTGGCTGCTACATGCAGCCCGTTGGGGCACATGGGCATCCTCCCCACGAGCCCCCAGCTCTCCTGCTCTGCGGCCTGAGGTGCCAACCCCATGGATAAGAGCCACACTGTGTCACGTGTTCCCAGATGCCAGCGTGCCCAACGTGCAGGTGACGAAGCTGACCCTGATGTGTGAGCAGGCGCCGGGGCCCATCACCATGGACCTGACAGGTGAGTGCTGCGGGTTCTCCATGGCGGAAGGAAGGAGGAGGAGGAGGATGGGGTCCATGCTGACGGGACCATCTGCCCCCCACAGGAGACCTGGAGGTGCTGCAGAGCCGTCCCTTCGTGCTGAAGGAGGGGGTGGACTACAGGGTGAAGGTGTCCTTCAAGGTAAGGCTCCGTGGGCACCTGACACCACCTGTGGGCTCTGTGCCTCTCTGGGGGTCCCTGCCCACTTTGGGGACCCACGCTGCCCCCAGCATCACTGCCACCCTGCTCAGTGCCCATCCCAAGGAGCCGCATCGCAGGGCAGTGTGAGCGGCTGTAGGGTGGGTCCCCCTCCGAGCCCAGCACGTGGAGCCTCTCACTGCCCCTTTGTGCCCCGCAGGTGAACAGGGAGATCGTCTGTGGGCTGAAGTGCCTGCACCTGACGTACCGCCGCGGCCGGCCGGGTGAGTGGGGTCAGGGATGGGATGGGGCAGCACCGCCCGGCCCTGCTCACCCAAACCCCTCTCGCCCTCTCGCCCAGTGGACCGCGACGTCTTCATGGTGGGCAGCTACGCACCACGGGCCGAGGAGTACGAGGTGGTGACGCCAGCCGAGGAGGTGCCACGGGGCCGGCTGGTGCGTGGCTCCTACCGCGTCCGCTCGCTGGTCACCGACGATGACAAGACGGAGCACCTCGCCTGGGAGTGGGGCCTGTGCATAAGGAAGGGCTGGGAGGACTGAGACCCCCCCGGTCCCACCATTGCGGGGATCCCCCCGCCTACCCGGGGACCCCCTGCCGCCCGCGCCGCCCCACCGACGGGAAGGTGGAGGGGTCCCTTAGCAAAGCGGGCGCCCGCGGTCGTGGTCTTGGCAACCAAAGTTATTTTTAATCGCTGTTTTTTTTTGATACCGACGCCCGACTCGTCCTCGCGGCACCTCCATCGCTGTGCACTGCTGTGCGCTGAGCTGCGCCCGGCCGCAGGCTGTGCTCCTCCATCGCCATTAAACCCTACAGACGTGTCTCTTACTGCCGTGTCCGTGTTCCCGGGCCCGCGCCTGGAAATCCGCCACCTGCTCGCTGCCTTATCTCCGTGCTGGCAGCCAGTAGCGGAGGGCCACGAGCTCCCACGGCCCAGCACCTCCCGCCCCGCCGCCCTTATCTGCCCCTCTCCCCGTGCGAAGGCTTTGGCAGTGGGACGGCACCATGCGGGGCGGCGCGGTGCTGTGTGTGCTGCTGCTGTCGCTGGCCTGGCTGAGCCCGGCATGGGGGGCTGAGGGTGGGGAGGAGGATGGGGAGGTGTTGGTGGCGGAGGAGGAGGATGAGGATGAAGAGGATGAGGTGCTCTCGGATGAGCTGATGGAGGAGGACGGCGTCCTGGTGCTCCATGAGCACAACTTCGCCCGCGCCCTGCGCGAGCACCGCCTGCTGCTGGTGGAGTTCTGTGAGTGCCCGTGGGGAGGCAGGGCTGCGGGGTGTGAGATGTGCCGATGTGAGGGCCTGAAGGACAGGGCTTGGCAGAGGGGCACTGGGCATGAAAAGGTGGAGCAGGGACAGAGGGCAGGGTCATGGGGTGGGGGGCACAGCAGGGGCGTGGACCTTGTGGCAGGGGACATGAGGTGGGGATATGAGACGTGGGGCATGGCGGCTCACATGCGCTATTAGGTGCTCTCAGCCTCACCCCTGGGCTGGGGACATCCCTGGCTGGGGACACCCCTGGGCTGGGGACACCCCCTGCGGTGACACCGGGCCCTGCACAGACGCCCCGTGGTGCGGGCACTGCCGCCGTTTCGCCCCTGAGTTCGCCCGTGCGGCCGCGTTGCTGAGGAATGGATCAGAGGCGGTGCGGCTGGGCAAGGTGGACGCCGTGGCACAGACAGCCCTGAGTGCCGAGTTCCACATCGAGGCTTTCCCCACGCTCAAACTCTTCCGTGATGGCAATCGCACCCACCCCGTGGCGTACAGCGGTAGGGCCGTGCAGGGGGCACTGTGAAGGCGTGGGGCGGGTGGGGGGGTGATGGTGAAGGGGTGACGGCGTCCTGACAGCGGCTCCGTGGTGACGGTGGGGTGGTGGCCACGGTGGCCGTGATGGCCGGTGGCAGCCCCGCTCTGTGCTCAGGACGCATGGACGCCGAGGGCATGGTGCTGTGGGTGCAGCGCCGGGCCGGGCCCAGCGCCACGCTGCTGCATGATGCCGACACCGTTGCTGCCTTCATCGGCTCGCAGGACATCACCGTGGTGGGCTTCTTCAAGGTGGGCCGGGGCCGGGGCGGGCAGGGCTGGGCTGTGGGCATGGCGGTGCTGATGGTGGGGACCATGCAGGACCTGCGTGGTGAGGCAGCGCAGGCGTTCTACGAGGTGGCCGCAGAGGTGGTGGATGTGGTGTTCGGGGTGGCTGAGGAGGATGAGCTGTTCGAGGCGTACGGGCTGTCGGCCGACACCGTCTGCCTCTTCAAGAAGGTGAGTGGGCTGGGGGCGGTGGGGCCGCTGTGGGGCCGGGTGCTCATTGTCCCACGCCTGCAGTTTGATGAGGGGCGGACGGATTTTCCCGTGGACCCGGAGCAGGGCCTGGAAGTAGCCGAGCTGACGCGGCTGCTCCGTGTGCACAGCCTGCAGTTGGTGATGGACTTCTCCAATGAGGTATGGCTGCTGCCAGCCCCAGCCCCGGCGTGGCTGCAAGGTGCCTGGCCTCACCCTCCTCCTGCCCCACAGACCTCCGGCCAGATCTTCGGGGCCAAGATCCCCAACCACATGCTGCTCTTCCTCAACACCTCCGTAGCAGAGCAGCAGGCACTGCGGGACGAGTTCCGTGCGGCCGCCAGCACCTTCCGGGGTGAGGTGAGGTGGTCCCACGGCAAGAAAGGACGGGGCCTGGGGGAACACAGCCTCAGTGCTGCCCGTCTCCCCCCCTTCCAGGTGCTCTTTGTGGTGGTGGATGTGGACGGGTACGGTGCCACCGTTCTGCCCTTCTTCGGCCTGACGCCCAGCGATGCGCCCACGCTGCGCTTCATCAAGATGGAGAACAACCGCAAGTACCGCATGGAGGCAGACGCCTTCTCAACCACGGCCGTGCGTGACTTCGTGCAGGCGGTGCTGGACGGCAAGGTGAAGGTGAGGAGATGGGTGCCTGGATCTGAACCTGGCCACGCGTCCCAGCGTGGGCTGTGGCCATCCCTGCTGTCCCCGCAGCCCCAGCTGCTGAGCGCAGAGCCCCCCGAGGACTGGAACACGCGGCCCGTTAAAGTGCTTGTGGGGAAGACCTTTGAGCAGGTGGCATTTGATGAGACCAAGAATGTCTTTGTGAAGTTCTGTAAGTGCTGAAGTCCTGTCCCTGAGCTCCGTCGTGAGCATCCATCCTCTCCATGAGCACTCCTGCATCCCCACCCCTCGCCTACCCCCGGTGCCCCCAGCCCAGCCGTGACCTCCAGCGCCGTGCCCATCACACAGATGCACCGTGGTGCACCCACTGCCAGGAGATGGCGGCTGCCTGGGAGGAGCTGGGCGAGCGCTACAAGGACCACGAGGACATTGTCATTGCTGAGATGGATGCCACGGCCAATGAGCTGGAGAACATCACCATCAGCGGATACCCAACGCTGCACTACTTCCCCGCTGGGCCGGGCAGGAAGGTGGGCAGGGACAGGTGTGGGGCATCCGTGGCTCTGCCAGCACCTGGGAAAGATCGGGCTCAGATGTCACCACCCTGTGTCCTCCTCCTGTCCCATGTGTCCAGATGGTTGAATATAGGAGTGCCCGAGATGTGGAGACCTTCTCCAAGTTCCTGGAAAATGGAGGGAAGCTGCCGGAGGAGCCACCCACGGTGAGTGAGGTGCCCCCATCCCTGGGCAGGGGCTGCCAGCCAGGGCACAGACCCAGGGCGACACGTGGGATGGAGACGTGGGATGTCCATCCCTGTCTCACCGCCACCTTCTGCAGGTGTCCAAGGCCCCGGAGAACAGCACAGAGTCACCGAGCCCATCTGGCACAGCCGAAGCCCGGGAGGAGCTGTGAGCCCTGTCCTGCTGCAGTGGGCATTATAAATGACCCTGGAAATGATGGGGGCTCTGTCTGTGTCTGCGGGGTGCAGTTCAACCCTGCTGGGGGGGCACGCAGCACTGAATGGTGCCTGCTGGGCCTCTTGGGGACACAGTGCAGCTGGTGGGTGTCACGACGGGGGTTGAGCCCACTGGGGTGTGCAGGGCAGAGCCTCAGGCACCCATGGCACTGAGCATTCCCATGGAGGGGGTGCTGCCTTTGCCTCCCTGTGATGCTGGACCCAACACAGCCCTGGACACGCTGCGATGATTGTCCTGACCCAGCAGTGTCAGAGTGCTGCAGGCAGCCCAGGTTGGTCCTTGTACTGCCCCAGGCCTGGGGCTGAGCTGTCAGGGTGTTGGGGATGAAGGAACCATAGAGGGCTTTCAGTTTCATGGCCTCAAGGCCTCCTGCCCCATGCCTGGGCTGCAAGAATGCAGAGCTGCCTCAGGGTTCCAGTCCCAGAAGCTGCTGTCACACTCTGGGAAGGCAGGAGTAGCCCCAAACGGGGCTCCAAACATTCCTCTAGAGCCTTTCCAATGCCTGGCTCACAGCCCCAGGACCCCCTGGCACTCCCTCAGTCCCCAGCACCGTCCCCTCTTCTTGAGCTGCTGCTCTCCAGCCATAAGCAATGGCTCTGGGACCCCCACGCCCATCCTGTGGGCAGCCCCACCGTGTGCCCATGGCCCTGGGCCAAAGCAGGGCCCTTCAGTCTGCTGCCATTTACCAGTTGTCTCAGCCCGCTCCCATGTCTGCTCCGCAGGGAAGGAAAAAAAACAGAAGGCACCGGGATGTGGGGTTTTATTTCATTTTATCCAAGTACCTTTGAAAAGATCATTGTACAAGTCAGCACATGAGGATGCACAGGAGACATCACCAGGGCTGCACGGCCGCTGGAGGATGCTGCGCTCGGCAAATGTACATATTTACAGGGAACCCCCTGAGAAAAAAAGGGGGAGACGGAAATCCCAGGCATGGTAACAACCTCACCAGACACAACACCATCAGAACTTAAAAAAGAGGGAGGAAAGACGTTCGTAACACTGTTCCCTGGCTGAAAACAATTGCAGATTTTGCTGGACTTCACATAGTGATAGGCAAGTCACAGAACCATGTTTAAAGGCACTCGGTGACGTGTACAAGAGGCTGAGTTGTCCCCACACAGTGCCACTTGGCCCCAGCCCTGCAGGCAGCCGAGTTGGGCCCCAATGTGCTGCAGCAGCAGTGAGCAATGGGGCAGGCGGGCGGGCAGGGTGAGTGCTGATGTGGGACCCCCTAGGAGCTGGCACTGGGGGCACAGGGGCTGGGTTTGCCCAAGGGCGAGAGCGGAGCTGTGGCTGCTGGGGCACAGAGCATGGGCTGGTGGGAAGGGCAGGGCTGAGGGCAGGTGGAGCTGAGCTCAGTCCCATCTGCATCCCAGTAGCTGCCCCTTACAGTGACTGCAGCATTCAGGGGAGCTGGCCGTAAACATCCCCACAGCTCCTTTGCTGCTGGCTTCGGACCACAGTGCCCTCATGCTGCCTCCCCAGAGACACAGAACCTGACAGAAGACACAGGACTCACAAAATGATGGTTTTTGTCCTCAGACTGAAAGTGTCTAATTGGTTTCCTTCCCACACTACCTCTCTCCTAAGGCAACTCTCCTGACCAAAGTCCAGCCTTGGCACTGGGGGCCTGCACAGGGCTGCCAGCCCTCTGTGGGGCTCAGCACCCTCCAGGAGGCAATGTCTGCCCCAGGAGCAGGCACACGTGGGGGACAAGCACAGGGCATGGGATGCCAGTGCCCAGCCCTGCAGTGCTGAGCAGCAGCTGATCCTCACTGGTGGCCCACAGCCCTGCTCTGCTGGAAGGCACCATGGGAAGCCTGCAGCACCAAGAACTGGCACCCACCCTCCCTTCCCTTGGGGATTCACTCGGTTGCAAGAAAGCTCAGGACAAAAACCACCCTACCAGGTCCAGTAGCTGCAACTACCAGGGAGGCAAGGGCCCAGCTCGTTCAGAATGGCTCAATTATCTTCAGAGGTGTGCAGAAGCACAGTGGAGGGCCTCTCTGGAGTGCAGCAGTGACTTCCTCAGCAGCAGGGAAAGCAGCTTGTCGGCTGGGTGCATCCCACCCCAGCACTGCTCAGAGCCACACACACCGAGGGGACAGGGAAGGGTGCTGTGAAAGTGAGGACCACACGGAGTTTGATGGATGGCTGTACACTTTGGGTGAGTTCTGCAGTACCTGTATGTTTTACATTTACATAAGAGCACTGTGACATTGGAAATATTTTCCTTTTATTACAATATATCAAAAATATGCAGCTTTAGTAAACAAGTTCATTTTACACTTTCTAATGCACTGTACAATGCTACATTACACTTATATTCGGTATGGAGAGGGAGCCCAGGCTCCCACTGGCAGGTTTGTGGGATGAAACGACTTCCCATGGCACAGCAGAGCTTGCCCAGGTCCTGGCACAGAGCGGGCTGCACCCTGGGCTCGCCCAGCGCCTCCTGGAGTAGCACCGCCTGCGTCTGCCCCAGACCTTCTCCTCCAGTCCCAGAGTCTTTCACAGTCCTTTCCTCAAAGCCTCTGCAGCCTTGGAGCCTAGTCGATCTTCTCCACCTTCCCAATGATCTTCTCTTCGAAGATGGGCAGGATGGTGTCGTCCTCCCGCACCTCCTCGAAGACCACACCGCAGTCGAACTCATCACTCACTTTCTTAAAGTAATACCTGAAAGAGCAGAAACATGGGGACACAGAGGGGTTAAGGGCCACGTGGGACACCACAGTGACACCCAAACATAGGGAGCAGCACTTCCACGGCTGTGAACTCATGATGAATGGGAGCAGCCCCAGCAGACATTGAGACTGGCATCTGCCCCTGCCCTCCCTTAGTGACAGGAGTCAGAACACATGCAGGCACGTTGAGGAGCTCAGGCTCTGAATCCCAGCCCATTCTCAGCTCTCACAAAAGCTGACTGGAGGTCCTGACGCTGGCATGGCCCTGGAGCATTTCTAAGCAGGTTTTCTTCCCCAGGCAGCTCCTACTTGGAGGCGGTGCTTTGCAGAGCTTCCTATCCCACACCTGGTGCTACAGAATGACGGGCATTTTGGGACTCAGCAGGGCCCAGCCTCCCTGCTCACACTGAAGGAAATTCTGGGAGCCTGAAATGGCTCTGGCAGTTGGGGAGTTCCCCACAGCATCGGCAAGCACTGGCTGATGCTGCTCCTCACCAGCCCACGACATTGTGCAGCCCTGTAGGGGAAGTGACTTCTGTTTGGGGTGCAAACTGTGATGCAGAATATTCCTGGTAGAAAACCCAATCTCCCATGTCCTCATAACCTGCTTCTTCAACAGCCAGACCCTCCCAGTCAAACCCAAACATCAGCCTGCTTCCATGAGACAGGATTACAGATGCAAGTATGAGTTCTACCCTTATTTAAAAAGTACATTCCTGGCTCACTTTGGGACTTACTTTTCTAAGTGAATGTCTACTGGCAGCCAGATGCCTCTGCTGTGCTGCCATAACCCTGCAAGGCTGCTGAGAACCCCAGGAGCTCCCCTGACCTACCTCCTTTGCCTTGACAGGAGCAACATCGCTGCATCCTGATGGTGGCACCTGCCAGGAGGTGCTGACAGTCTGCTGGCACCACACTGCACGTGGTGAGCAGCCCTTACCTGTAGTTCCCTTTCTTGGTCAGCAGCTCCTTGAACTGTCCCAGTGTCACCACGCGCCCTTTGACGAGGGTGCGGTACGGGATGGGCTCTCCACAGAAGTAGTAAGCAACCACAATGTTCTCACAAGGCTGGGATGCACCGCTGCCTGGTCTCTTCTGGGGCTTCAACCTGTTGTACAAAATCACAAGCAACATCCTGAATATCAGCCTATGGTGCTTGGAACAGGCCCAGCATCATCACCAGCACTGGGCGGTGGTCTGGGGGAGGCTCTGCCCATGCAGGGGGTGCAGGTCAAGACCTTCCTGTATCTGCAGAGAACTGGGGCCTTTCTGTATGGAGGTGCCAAACTAACACTCAGGAAACACGTTTTACTCTGACCACCTTTCTTGGCACACTTCTGCACACTGGTGGAACAGCTCTTGGAAAGGCTGGATGGAGGCCATGTCGCAGCTAGGAGGAAGAAGGCACGGGTTCCAGCTCAGCCCCTTCATGCTGCAGAAACCCGTCCCCAAGGACAGGCTTGGAGAGGTGGATTTCCTGCAGCACACTGAGCTCTGAGAGCAATTGGTTAGGGCAGGGCAAGGCAGAGCATCACAGGCCCACTGCAGCTAACTGACGTCACCACTGGTGTGCACCAGTGTGATTGGGCTTCAAGCTTCAGGGTTTGCCACCTGGGCCTCAGTACAAGCAGTGCTTCAGTGATGGCTTGCAGGGTTTGGTTTGCAGGAGAAGCCTTCAAATCCATGAGACTGGAGAAGAAAGTGCCATCCATGTCAGCTAGCAACTGCTTCTGTGAAGCAACTGAAGCTCCCATGTGCAGCCGCGGGGCAGTGGGATGTGCCATACCCTGGGTGCTTTGCTGCTCATCCCATCCTGTCCCATCCCATCCATGCAGGGTGGCAAGGCCTGGCTGGGCTGCTGGCTGACACAGCCCTGATTGTGCTGCAGGCTGCATTTTGGAAGGCAGACACCATCCTCAAACCCCCAGTGAGCAGACTGGGAACCTCTCTCTCTTTCCTGCCTCTCGGGATGTCAATCTGCTCCTTGCCTCCAAGCCCACACGCTGGCATTTGCTATGTGGTGCCATCACCAGACTGAAAGTGTCAGCCCAGTCCTCGCCTCATTTTCAGAGTCAGACAAAAGTAGCAACAATAAAAATAAGGGTACTTTGCACTTCTGTGGAGCCTTTCATCTAGGGCACTGTAAATGCTGCACAAACATTTGAGCAGCCTACACAAATGCACTGCTTGGCACGTGTGGTCTCAGCCAGAGGCAGCCTTCTCTTTCAAAATCACATAAAACAAATTTGGCAGCTTTAAAATTATTTAAAAGGCACACTGGGTAAAAAAAAAAAAAAAAAAAAAAAAAGATTTTGTATTTATATGACTGGAAAGTTGCTATAAAAACAGAATATGCCAAGCACATGAGCTAATGGCAATTCTGGAAATGGTTGTGACCCTAACCTTTAAATACTGGCGTGCAGTCACAGCACCTTTTTAATGGCATGCCCACATAAACATTGGCATTGCAAACCAAGACCAGTGAAAATTCTGTC